TGAAGCAGTTACGCAGTCGATCTCAATTCTCCATTGACGTTGCTCAGGTGATGAGTAAGAGTGGCGGTTAGTAAAAAGGGGATGGCAGATGTCCCAAAGGGCACTCTCGTCATCCTCCACTCTTCAACGGTTGGCTCTGAGCTTGCTGACGACGAATCTCTTTGAAGTATCAATCTCCAGATCTAACGCTGACCTGCAGAAACACCTTTTCTATGTCCGCTGTTAGAGCGATTGGGTGTAGACGGAAGCACACCAAGATTCCGACCAGATCAGCGTTCATATTTGGCCCCTTTTTCAGGTGTTCGTCGAGTGAGGCAACTCTTGGGAGATGAGAAGAAGCGTCGAAGACGACTCTCAGCCTGGTAGTCTTGGATTCATTCCAAATTACGGGCTGATTGGGGCATATAATAAATCCGTGGGTTTGTCGACACGCCGCAAAATGGGCTCGCTGAAACCTTTTCTGCGTGTTCTGAGGGGATGTAGCTGCATATGACGTTGTCGTAATCTTTTGTGAAGGACTCGTCGCGTGACAATCTGTTCTTCAAACTGTCAAGACCTTTCAATGCCCCAGCGTGTGGTTATCCTTCAGTTCTCCCGCGGCGACCGTGAACGGTAGACCCACTTCGTATCGCCTGTTCACCTTCCGTATTGTTCAGTTGAACTCGTTTAGCAGTTCGTTCTGTTCTTCCATCTTGTTGGAGGGCTGGTCAGAAATGACGATTCTTTCCAGCTCCCAAAAACGTTTCAGGATATCTTTGATGTCCTCGTTCGTGAAACATTCCGTTCTTAGCACGCATACCGTGCTGCTGGCGCTGCCTTTGAGAGAGCTGTGGTTTGACACTGGGCCTTGAAAGGTCCAGCCAAAAAATTGTGCTTATGGCTACCAGCTTCTGTTTTTCCTTGCAATGCAGCACTTTGTCACCGTTCACTCGCCACAGCTGGTCTGAACCGACCAGAAGGGAAATGCCGTCTTCAGCAATGGCCAGAGGGGAGAGAAGCATGTCTGCAATACGACAGCCGTTTTTCATCAGACGGCGACCAAATTTGTAGTCGACGGGTAGCTGCACAACGTCCTTACAGATGAAGGGTACCTCGACGGCTTCGATGACGCACTCTTCTTGGCCGTATTGGCTGTGGAACCGTACTTCTACTAGTCGCCGATGTTGCAGCCGTGACGTGAGTGACCGAACGTATTTTGCCGGAGGCTAACCTCTCCCAGAACCTTGAGGCCGAGTTTGCGAGAAAGGTCCTTACGAATGAATGTCCGTTGGCTACCTCCATCGATAATGGCTCGCACGTACAGTCTTTGGTTGCCTTCCTCAGCCCAGGTCCGGAACGTTTGAAGAAGCTCTTCGGAATCCAATGGGCCGTCAGCACTGTCGGAGATTGCGTTCTGGACGCTTGTCGAAGGAGCATCTCTATCCGATTTCTTCAGGTTAGGTTTCCAGTTCGGGTCGCACATAGATGTTGCATGTTGACCGGAGCACGACGCGCATGTCACCTTCCGCCGACACTCCCTCGCCCGGTGCCCTCCGATTGTGCATCTGAAGCAGCAGTTTTCTTCCACCAGCCTCCTTTTCTTCTTCACCTCTAACGTGAGGTCGCCAGTACATACTTCTGTTGCGTGCTTTGTGGAACGGCAAAAGAAGCAGGGGCTTGTGATATTTGTGTGTAGCACAGATGCTGCTGTCATTCTGGATCTTTCAAGCCTTTTCTTCTGCGTCTCTTGCCGTTCTTCTACTACTCCGGCTCTCTCTCTACTCTCAACCCCAATCCGAAGGAAGCTTAGAATATCGGCGAGCTCATCTTCGGCGTCGGCGAAAGAGGGTGGCCTTGAAGCTTTCCGTGTGGAAAGTGGTCCGTCGACAGGGTATCCGGTGTCCGGCACCGCTGGTGAAGTCAGTGAAGTCGGACTGTTTGGAGTTTCTCCCGACGACCTGTAGGCAGTGCTGCTTGCCTGCTGCCGGTGATAATTTACGACGACTTCGTTCGGCAAGGCCTTGAGGAGGATATCGGACATCATCGTGCAGTACGTTGCCGATCCCACGCCGAGCCCCTTCAGAAAGCGAATGTTCGTCTGAACGTGATCGTACATTTTTCGGAGGTCTTTTGTGTCCTTCGCGAAGGCACCAGGAGGCAGTGCTCGGAGCTTCGCCAGGTGATTTTGCTCAATCCTTTGTTTTTCACCGAAGTGCAGTGTCAGGATTTCAATGGCATCGTCGTAGCAAGCCTCAGTTGCCTGGAGCCCAGCGATGGCCGCCGCCGCTGGTTCGGTGACATGGTTGCGGAAGTACTGAAACTTGTCCGATCGTGGAATGCTATCGTTTTCGTGGATAGCACGACCGAACTGCTCCCAGAAGCTCTGCCACGCGCTGACCTCACCGTTGAGTTTGAAGTCGTGACTTGGGAAGTTTCACGCCGCTAGTCATGTTAGTGCGAGCTCTTCCCAGGTCTCTAGTGGCAGTGGCAGATGTTGTCGCGGATTTGGTCATCTGGGTGGCCTGTGCCTGTTATTCTTTACGTCTCAGTGAGTCTGCCTTGCAGTCCAATAGTGCCATCATTCGGATGGCCTCGTCGACGTACTCCGTGACGGTAGAGTATTCTGCGACGAGGTCTTGTTCCGATACATGATCTTCTATCTCTACGTTCAACTCTTGGAGTGCCCTGTTATTGGCATTCAGCCCCTCTAGCCAGGCAGTCAGCGATGCCAGGGCCGCTGTCTCCATCCCCGCTGTCGCCTCGTGGATAACTGTCATGTTTTGCGACCGCTTCATTACACGTTTTGCCTTGAGACGTTCCATGTTTGACGATCTCCCACACAGCTCTCGGAAACAGCGTTCTAGGCAGGTGTTCCACAAAGGTGGCAAATCCGCTCACCCCAATCGTTCTCGATCCCGGGTCTCGGCACCACAATGTCTCAGAATCGAAGAAGTCGTGTGGGTGTCGTATTTAAATCGGGCAATTAACGTAAAAACAAAACACAAACTGTATTTACACTAATAAATTAATCGAATGTACATCATTACACAGAAATGTCTCGGTCGGCTTGTCTGTCGTTCGCCTCGTTCCTCTCGTGACTCCCATCTTCTTCTTTCTTCTCGTGAGCTTCAAATTGTTTCCAATCTGCAATACCGCGCAGGGATGTAGGGACACGCGGGCGCGACGTCATCAGTGCAGCCGTTCAATCGGCTGGCCCCAGATTACAGTGAACTATACTTCGTTTCAGCTTCAGTCCAGACGCAGCCAAAGCTACAAGCGCGAGCTCCGGGCTTTCAGCATCCCTGCCAAGCACGCGCGCTCGTGCAGTGCAAGCACTGTTCTGGGCCACATGCTCGCGCTTGTAGCATCGGCTGCGTCTGGACAGAAGCTGAAACGAAGTATAGAACACTGAGTAGTGGAAAAAGCAGCGGCCTCCGCGTGAAACACATCGTGTTCAATTTTCCAGGCGGCGCTAGCGCTTATTTCCCGAGAACTGCCTAGCCTTGCTCGCATACGACAACCACGAGCCGCGAACCTGTGCCAACCGCTTCCTGTTGTTGTTGTTGTTCCCCCCCTTTTTTTTTTCTAGCTGTTACAGAGGACAGCAGGGCACAGAACGAGCTTATCGGGAACTCGACACCACCGCCACGCGCGGTTTTCAACAGCTTTGGCTTCACACGACCGACGGGGCAGCGCCGCTTCATTTTCACTACTTCTGCTTCTAATTCACTGTACCACGGTGTTGCTCTCGCGCGCTCCGATGAAGCTCGTTGCCACTTTGTGTTTCACAATATCGCTGACTCAGCGATATGGTGAAACACGATGTCGTAACGAGCTTCATCGGAGCGCTGGAGCTCAAATTGAATTTGAGCAACAGTCTCAAGTTGAACTAGTTGTTACATGTTAGGTATAAGTGTCAGCTATAGGACATAAACACGAAAACTGAAAGGGACAGCGGTGTGTTTGTGTTTTTCAGTTTTCGTGTTTATGTTCTAGCTGACACCAATACCTGATATTTGAGCGTCGAGAGAGTTTGGATGAGTGACATCTCGTCCCGCGTGCCGCCATCGTCGCGAAGCGAAAGTCCAATCAGCACGTGCTGCGAACTTCGGCCCCAACTATGTGTTGGACGAGTTTCGCGACCCAGAGGACCGTACTACTATTTTCACAATTTAGATAATAGTTCCGGGTCTGTAATCTCTATTGAGGGATCATGCACAATGCCATCTAGTAGGCGCCTCCAGATATTTTTTCCCCCTCTGTTATCGGACAAATTATTTTTGCGGAATCATATTTGAGGCCCTGTAGTAGACGTCTCGACAATTTTTTTTTCTGTTTTATTTGTTCTCTACAACTTCCTTTTACGGGAAAATTATAATCCAAAAACAGCAGTCGCTTTCACGCCACGTGATAGGCATATCTCCAATGTCCAACGTATTCACAGAGATAAACAAAGCAAGGTAGATAAAAATATGACATGAATAACTATTTTTAATGACAAATTCCAACAATTCATGGTTGGTCGCCATCTCGTGACATACTCTAAGACTGGTACACCACTCCACACAATATCAATGAACCAGCGTTGTTAACCATCCTGCCGCGTAGGAGGATAAACCCCAAGGATAACATGAACAACGAATTAAATGTTGAATATTATTTTGTTTCGCTGTCGTAGTATTCGGGTTGCCGATGAAAACATTCGGCCCTACGTACCCTCTGAGCATATCCGAAATTGGCGGTTCATCAGTCTTAAGGTAAAGTAAGAAAAAGGTGCTTATTAGTTTATACTATTTGCGTTATTTCTCCTCGTCGTACAACACCGGCATATTTTTCAACGAGCACAGACAGCGTGGCAGCGTTGTCTGTGTTTGTTTGTATAGTTCCCGTAGTGTGAAGTTTCTAATAGCTTGACCCTGTATCGTCTACAACCACAGCCGGAGGATGTTCACACCCTCTACTGCTATTGTAATCGTCAAAGGTTTCCAGTAGTGGGAGAATTAAAGAAAACATTATCTTACCCGGTTCCGGTGTGGTCTTGGGTTGTTCACTGATGAATCCTTCTTCTGGAATAAAAAAAAAAATCGCGTCCAATTTGCGTGCCTTTAGGCGCGCAAATTCGGCATTTCGCGAGATTATGTGCATGCTCGTGTTTTTTTCAGGCGATCTGGCTTCGTGGTGTTGATGGTGGAGCCAGAAAGTTTTGAATTAAAACCATAGTTTATATTCGCTCATTAACAAGTTAATAACCCGAAATCAATTAAAAACAGAGCGAACGTTATTCTTTTACCTAAACAGGCCAGAAACCAATAGAACATAAGCCTTTCTGTGTGTACGATCGTGCATTTTGCAGGAGCAATTCGGTCCAAGGTTCAAGAAACAGCCCGCATATTATATAATCGGTGGTGCATTAAACGCCCCATATTACATGATAGATGTCTTAGTTGCTCGTTCCCGGTAAGCTTATGACTTAAAGGCTGCTTTTGCTTATCAAACTTCGAAATCGCAAATCAACAAAGAAAAGCAATCAATTGATTTTTGATAAAAGGAGAAGCTACTACCTATTAGAATATTTTAAAATCCAACAACGCTAGCCAGCGCGTGCTGAGAAAGAAACTGCATTTATATTAATGCGCAAGCCAAACAGACATTTATATGAAAGTGCATTTTTATATCATATTCTTTTCTCTCATCCAACAACATTTTGGTACTATGAATTTTTTTCTAGGTTCGGCGTGTCCTTTCATGTTATCTTCCATCCGAAAAGCTCCCAGAAATGATTGAGACGTTTTAAAATGATAGCCTATATTTAAGCAGATGACTAAATTAAGCCGGCTCTATTAGAGAAATATTTCCCTCAATAATCAGAGTATTAAAACGAACATTACGATTGTCATAAAAAGAAGTATTTACTTTTAATAGATGGAAAAATAAACGAATTACTATAATTATGTCTGATTACACACAAAATACTGCCGTCATCTTTTGGAGAAACATATTTTATTTATTTAAAAAATATAACTAGATACTAACTAAGATAGTGAGCGCTACAATTGATGCACCTTTACTTTTAAGCGCGATTTCTTTCAGTGTTCCTCAAAATCGTGTAAGATTTTCATTTCTTTTCTGCCCGCAGAAAGTTTGTGTCTAGTCTCCGATGACACGCCTTCAGCTCCTTTATAATCGCGATAGGAGGGATTTAAAAAATTGTTTTCACCCCTTTTAAATTTTAGAAAGGCATTGTTGGCCGCTTAACAACCATCTGTGCTCTGTTGTTCTCCATTATTCTCCGTAGTTTTATTTAATTCCTTTTATCTTTTCTAAATCACGTCTTGCTTGTTAGTTGTCTGTATTTGTGCTTTGATTGTTTGTAATATGTGCGCACTGATAAGGCCTCGAGCTGTTTGTGGGCGCATTGAGCAGACTAAATAAATAAATATATAGTTTAACATTAATTTCGTTCCTCAATTACGTTTCTTTCTAATAAAACATTATTGCACATTTATTAGCAAATTTGACAAATACATAGTGTGTATCTGTGTTGTACACTGTTGGACACAGCGCGAACAAGTGATCGGCGTTTTTCTTTTTCTTTTTTATCTCTGGTTATCTAACGACCGAAAGGCAATGATAAACACTACCTATGGGGTGAAGTGTACTTACTCATCGGGAGCACTAACATAGGTGGTAAAATCTTATGCTCCTCAATGTACACTTCACGCTGTATGTATAAAAAGTGTCCCTGTCCTGTTCTCGCCAAATGTGCCTAGCATTGAATGCAATACATTTTGTAAACTCTGTATCTTAATTCGGAATGGCCAACATTTCAAAATTGGCGTAGCTACACGCGAATAAATATCCCATTGTAATTTTCAATTTTATATTTCTCATTATGTGAATTTCTGATGACGTAATTCATTTTTATCTCGTTCAAATGCCGTGCTAATTAGTAACATTTACGAGTACCCAAGCTACAAACGCTCGCAAAAGAAAACAGTTTAATTGCGACCAAATGTAGCAGACCGCGTTGCATAAGTTTTAGTTACATTAATGTCAAGTTGTTTAAATGTTTTCCAAATCCTCAATTGAAAGCATGTTAACTAAAAGCAGAAAACATCTGCGTTGCTTTAAAGTAAAAAAAAAAGAGGACAACCGTGTATTTCATAGTCACGCGGAAGTTGCAGAGAGGAGCTGTCAATGGGTTACGAGAGTCATAAACTCCAATAATATGTTCAGCAAATTCATTAGCCGGAACGATTTATCAGCAACTTCGTTATTCGTGATACATTTAACTATACCGAATGAAAACTTGGCTATGGACGTCCCTTGGCATCAACTGACAGCCCCAACTCACCGCATCCGGCGTTCTGTTTCCAGTCGCACACCAGGAGCTTGGGGTTGAAGTGCAGGTCTCCCGGACACCATTTGTGATGCGGCTCGTCGTTGGAGCAGTGGTAGAACATGCGGCAGTTGATCGGGTCCGGGAACAAGCCGTTCGGTTCGGGGCACTTGAAGCCGGGCACCACGATCGGGGCGGCAGTCGTGGGGCCGGGCGTCGTGGTCCCTTCTTCTGCGGTCAAAAAAAGTAATCCAGGTCGTGGTTTCATGCTCGAGAGGCAGTTTCAATAAAGCCAGCGAGGCACCGCGGTTTGTAACAAAAATATTTATGGGGCAAGATTGTATGTCGTTGTGTGTTAGGAAACTCCCGGTAAACAAGCGAGACAGTTGCAGGATAGATAGCTCCCCTGACGCGCTATAGCGGCCTTGGTTGACCGCGGTAGACTCTGCTCTTAAGATTATAGTAACATTTTCTCTTGGTGAGTCGATTAAGCTTAGTTTCAAATTCACCTTTTTGCCCACCAGCGTTTTACTCCAGCATAGACCGGGTCAAAGATTTTAGTGCTAGCTTCGGAAAACTCGCACAGCTATCGGGCGTTGCAGCATGAACGGGCTTTTTTTATGTACCATATTAACTACTATCGTTTGTTTGTTTGTTTTTTTATACCGGGCGACGAAACAGGTTTCGGTGGCCGACAAAGCGATACTCAAAAACAATAAATGTTGGCCTTTAAAAATTCGAGAAGCCAGCTTTTTTTTTTTTTTTTTTTGAAAAGGGGGGGGGGGGGGGGGGGCTTAAGTTTAATTTTTTTTTAATATTTAGTAAAAGAAAATAAATTAAAATATGGAAATAATACCCATTTTAAGATGTAGCAGACTTCTCCAAGCATAGGTCAATTTTTATCTGATACAAGCATTTCGGTGTATAAATAGCAGAAGAAATAAAATGCGACAAAACTATTAAAAACGTTCTCAAAAGCCTAGCTCGTGAATTGCGTGTGCAAGTCCTCATACTTTCTTAGGCTTCCTGACTCCTTGTCCTGGACGGGTTGTTGTACATTTATGCCTAAAATTCTGAGTATGGCATGGGAAAAAAATCATCGGCCTGACTATACTGCTTTATAGTTTAATAATGTATGTGAATAAAACAGAGAACAAACTGGAAACATGCATGCATACGTGCTGTTAAATTTCCCTTTGTCACAAATGTCAAGCCTAACGAGACGGGCCGAAATGTGCGTTGTTACAGCCAACTTGCCTATTCTGGACAAAGCTTATCACCTTGCGATAGTAAAGCAGGCAACTTGAGTACTAGGGCTCTTTCTCGGTTCTTCGATTATTGATTCGTCGCGGCACAAACGCAGAGTCGTGATCCGCGAAAAGAAAAAAAAATGTTTACGCGTGATAACTATTTGTAATTTTGGCCCCTTTCAAAGTATGTTCAGATGCTGTCTAGAGAGCGACAAAGACCGTGGTAGTACTTGCCATGCTCACAGCCCAGCACCTCCAGACGAAGCGCGATCCAGTTCTTCCAGGTGAGCGGAACGATACGAAGGTAGCGTGCGCTCACAGTTTTCGGGAACACGCTAGTGACGGGAGTGGAGCTGTCGAAGTTTCCCGAAAACACCTGCCGGGAGGAACGACAGGCTTGTCAGAGTATCACCATGTTGGCTCTAAATGATTAACCCTTATACCAATTGCACTCCATACCTTAGCTTCAATAACGAATTTAGAGAGAATCACTTTAAAACTACGGCAGTGTACAGACAGCCTCCAATCGTAAAACGACACGTTTCTTAGAGGACGTTGCATTTACAATCTAAATATTACATGACGCGCCTATATACCTTTGGACGTTTTCGGTTCGGGGTTCTACCCATAGCCTTTTTTTTTTTATCAGGCAGGCTTTGTGCAGAGGACTCCAAAAATTTTAGAAAAATGTATATATTCGGTTACATTGCAGTCTCAAGCACAGGGTCAATATGACATTAATTTATCTAAGAAAATTAATTTCTAGTAGTAAGTGTCCATTACATCAACAGTCATGTGCACAAACCTTTACATGCACGCATTATTAAAAATATTACGATTTTTCTTTTCAAGAACGATATTTCTCGTGGTATGGCTATTTTTGTATGGCTTGTTAAAAAGTTGTCTAAAGCTAATAAACGAATTATTAAAAAAAAATAGCGCAGCTTTATTTTTTTTAAGTAGCAGTGAAGCAAATGTCATGGCGCATAACTCTTACTTGCGTAGTTTAAGGCATGACTCTGGCCTGAGTACATTCCAGTCATGAGCACAAAGCTATGGTATCCTTGATACTCTACCTCTCCGTGACAAAAAAAAAGGTCAGTTCTTAACTAAATATTTATTTAAATAATCATGGCAGTGTAACCACGCTTGCAGGAATCTAACGGAACTAATCTCATGAAATCCGTACCATCTCTCCGCCTTCCTTGTCCTTGATGGTATTCCACCTCTTTCCGTTGTTGCTCGTCTGGACAATGAAGGACTTCACCCACTGCGGTATCTCGGGACGGCCTTGGGTCACAACGGCGGTCAGGTTTCGGCTGTCTTCGAAGTCCACCTAAACGAGAACAAAATGGATGAGCAAAACAGAATAAACATCAGCTAGATCACGTTTTAAATCAACGCAGGGCGAAGCCCAAGCTCTAACTAGTTATTATGAGGCAATTTATACCTTCAGGGTATAAAACTAATCAGCGGCGTGCGCGAGGAAAAATAATAAATTGCGATATCCGTAACATGTGAAATTACTTAAGCTGTTTCCAAAGACATGAAAGTTTCACTTTGGTTCGCGTTTGGGCAAGTAAATAAGTGGTTTCCACTCATAAAACTCACTGTTATCTAGGGGGCTTAGGTTATAACTGACCCTAAGAATGTAACTCAAATGTCTCACTTTACACCATCCGGTTTCTCAATATGCGTCGCCTGGAGTCGTTCCAAACTGGCTTCGTTTTTCTCCCGTTTTCCTCTTGACCGGGCAACATCTCTAGCTGGGAAATTCAGTTTTCCGAAGCACGGTGTTTTTGCCCAAAGTAAAGCGACTAAGGATGCGTTTTTTCACCCTAAAGGGCATTTTGTAATGACATGCGTACAGTGCCTATCTGAGCAGCCTCTGGCCATTCCGAGAGTGAAACAAGGTCTTTACCAACACCTTCTAGATAGCAAACACGCATCGCTAAATATTCAATATCCCCTGCCACGACTCAGCGCGAGAAACAGATTGGCCGAGAGTGTTGCCTCAATTTTTGCCTGGAACTCGTCTACAGACTTCGATCAAGAAGAATAAGAGTCAAAGCCGAACGCTGCCCAGAACTGGTGCCCAATTTGTGGCCCGCGATTGCCCGCAGTAGGTGACGACAAAAACGAAAATACAGCGTTACAGCCTTACTATCTAAGAAGTGTAGACTATACACTCTTAAAAATGCCTGCACGAATACTTACCCGCAAAACACTCGAAGAACCGATCTCTCCAATCTGCTAAGTCAGCTCAGCAAATGATGAGGCGGAACATCTGTTTAGACCTCGAAATTAAGTCTGCACTGCGGCATTACTCAATGCCAGCATGTCGTTTCGCATTGCCTAATGCAACATCGCAGACTTCACTTTTAGGTATAAACTGATGTTCCGCCTCATCATTTGTAGAGCTTATTTCGTAGATCGCAGAGATTGGTTCTTTGAGTGTTCTGCGGGTAAGCAGACGCGCAGACATTTTTTTTTTTTTTAAGTGTACACATGTTTCATCGTTACTTTCAGTGTCTTTAGTACCTCGGGATATTGTAGAAACTAGAATTCTTGGGTACCTGAAGGTACTGCTGCTTGTCGGCCACTCCTGCAACCCAGCCGCGCTGCTCGACGCGTCCGTAGTGCGCTGCGTGCTCCTCGTCTCTGTACGAAGAGGCTTCCATCTGGTTATCTCCTATCAGGCCGCTCTGCAGGCCCATCGGTTCTCGGCACACTGGGCGAGGAAAAGGTTTCTTCCCATCAGGAAGGAATGGGTGAAGAGAGCAGTCGAGAAATTGTGCGGACATGACGACGGTGTGCCTAAATGCAGCGCGGCTCGAAAGAATGTAAAACTAGAGCTGTCACGGAACACTTAGGAATCGTGAACTTAAACTCCGCATATTGATGTGAATATTTACATGGCGTAACTCATTTGGCGCCGTGCTCTTCTTCTTATTCCGTTTCAACTACGGTCAGAGGCAATATTTTTGTATAGTACCCTCGCAGTTCTATCTTAGAAGGAGTTGCGCCAGCGTCAGAAGTTAGAAAGTGCTCCGAGATGAGCACATCTTGACTAACGGAGCATAACCTAAAAACCAAGATGCAATATAGCTCTCCAATTGTTGCTGCCATGGTTTGCATGCTACCTTCATTAACAGATTAATAAAGCCTCAATTTTCTTTTCTTCAGTCTTTACATTGATGTACGAAGCTTCATTTGTGACACGGTGAACGTCTGCTTTAGTAGCGATAACTTTTATTCACAATAAAAACTCCGATTGAGTGTTGGCACTTTAACAAATTTGTGATATTGGGGGAGCAATCGCTACTTCGTAGATTAGAATTACAACGATATATTTTACTTCATACACAATTCCATCTGCGTGGCATTATCTACATAATTTGCGAATCTGTATATTTTGTGATAATTTTATGCATAAATGAGGGCGATTGCACAATTCTTTTCTTAAGGGGACAATACACCCAACCTGCTGGATATTATCTAATCTAGAGTATATTTTCGGGGAATTTGCGAGTATCCTATTATTTCGTAAGAAACAAAACTTTCGCACAATTGTTAAAAACAAAATTTCCTCCTTTTTTTTATTTTCACCATTCGACCGTTTTGTGGGGTGTTGCGATGAACGACTGACAAACCTTAGCTCAAGCGCCGAAAGTTTGGAAATCGATTCTTATAAAAACATTTTAAGCGAACAGCAACTACGCCTCCAGATTTATTCTGTCGTTCGTTACAGGTACTTCAATGTTTCGCAACGCGTAGTTCAATGTTATCCTAAAGGCACGAGCGATGTCGCTAAAAAAAAAAAAGCGTTTCTATTTTATTTATTTTAAGAAGTTCTATCACTCGGGCACACTAAGCGATCACGCCTTTCCTTTGTTTTTATTTTATATAAAAAAAAAAAAAAGAAAACTACCCCGTTGCAGGTGTCTATGTTAAGCTCCGTCGACAAAACCAAATTCACCGAGCGCACATTATATTGTTAAACATTGCTCTTAGCAACGCTCGGGTCATCATATAAATTAAGTTTTTTATCTAAAAGAGAGACTGGCCGAGCCTCCTCTTTTCATCTTATTGTCGCAGTAGTTTCCTCGAATTCAGCGCCCCGCTCGCGTTCTACGTTCAAAATATTGAAAACAAATTTTTTGTAAGTATTATCCTTCTAATACTTGCAGTAAACTTTGAATTTAAAAACAAAATCGTTTCATTAATATTCAGCGAGGGAAAGTTTTAAAATTCCAAGTGTAGTGTTCGACCGAGCTCACCGATGCATCTAAGGGAAACTTTACTGGAAGCCCGGATGCACCCCACACGACACCGTCGTGCAAAGAAGAATTGCTTGGGAATATTTTATAGGTCTTCGCGACGAAAGGAAGCCCCACTCGAAGAAGTTTTATGCAAACAAACGAGAACAAAAAAAAAAAACAAAAAAAACGGGATGGGATAAGTGCGCGCTGCCGCCACTTTTGTCCTTATATGCATCTGACTTTAGTCTCTTTTTGTATGCCACCCCATCCCGCTGGATCAGGTTAAAGCTCTTAATCTAAAAACTTAAAGAAAATCGGCTGAGAGCGTAAGTTCAAAGTTTTCACTATCACCTCGAATTACCCTTAAGGTGGTTCGGAAAAACGTCAGGGGTCGCGTTGATTTTTCTAGATCGCGTTATGCAAAATTGATTGAAGCTGTTGATAGCATGCAGACTTCCATGAAAGGCGTAACCGCAAAAAAAGTAGTGTCCCAATAAGTAATAAACAGTTCGAAGGCGCGTTTTCTTTTTTTATGTTCATTTGGTTGGCGACCGACTGCGCGCCGCGTGTCGTGACGCTGCGTCGAGAACGCGTCAGTTATTGTAATATAGGAAGTCCTACGTTGATTTTATGTCACCATAAAGAGACGTTATTATTCTCCTGACATTTGCCTCTTCTTAATTCTTATATGCAAAGTGCCGAATGTTTTTTTCTGAGAATGCATCAATCACTTTCTTACATTCGGTACGTCATTTGAAAGGCGACAGGCGACTGATATGACTGAATATTTTCTTGTCCCCTCCTTTTTATATTTGTTTGAAAAACATACATAAAACAGAAAGCCTTCCAAAAAGGCCCCAGCGTTTCTTCTCAATGACGCGTAACTTTCAAACTATAGCCATCCTAAGAGCGTTCATTTTAAGGCTCCATTAGCATTGATGCTAGAAAATATAGGCATGTTTATCCTCTTATATTTAGTGCTGGACCGCCCCCTTGTTATCTTCTATTTTCTATTCTACGTTGACACATTTAAAAGTCTAATAAACCGAAAGAAAACGGATGCCTGTTCGGCATTCAGTGAACATTGAAGGTTTAATGTAAAGGTTATCTGGGCAAAAGTAGAAAAGTCATTTCATGGTCCCTTTAAAGAGTACTCTGGCGGTTTTCTAACTACGCAAACCAACCACCTTTTCTCAATACCATGAATTTACTGTTCTCAACATGCTATTTAGTGTCTGGAAATTCAAAATGGCTATTGAGAAAACGGCAAATTAATGTTACGCCAAAACCAACGTTCGAATGACCGCTCCATGGTAACCAACCCACAAATTGTGGCAAGGGGTACCGTGCCTTAAAGCAGTTGTTCTAATTCGAGCTCCAGTTGAAACCAAAACGAAACCAAATCTAACAGAGCTGCAGCTCTGTTAGATTCGGTTTCGTTTTGCTTAGCTTCGGACACTGAGTGTCCGAAACTCTATTTGCTTCAGACACGGAGTTTCCGAAGCCAACGGAGCTGTAGCTTTCTCTGTCCTTGCGGATGAAACAGCTGACATTGGGGGAACAGAGCAGCTGTTTTCCCAATATCGAACAACGAACCTTCAAAATGGTGCCGCCACGATACTCCAGGGAAGGGGGGGGGGGGGGGGTAAGTGTGACTCCCCACCCCTGGAAAAAGTTCTGTGGACGCTCATGTTTACGCCCATGTTTACGCCCATGTTTACGCCCAGTGTCAAGCGCCTTCCAACCTGCAAGGTGTTCTCGCACCGCCGTATTTCGGTTGACGGCCCCCATACCCAAAACTAGAGCTACATGTCTGTAGGAATAAAAGCTGTAATATTTTTTTTTACCAAACACTGTGCAGGTTACAAGTCGCACGTTGTCAGTGTCCCAAACTTAAATCGGCTTCAAGGCAGCTGCGGCGTGACGGGAATCTGTGGGAACAGACAATTAAATTTGCACACCTTACTGCTGATTGGTCCAAACGTAACAAAACTGCCAGCGAGCCGATTGGTCGAAACGATACCAAAGATGGGATCTAGAAAGGAAAAAAGAATGCCAAAAGTAGGTACTGATGACTTACCCTCCATGTTGGATGGGGTTCCGATTGGCTTCGGTGTGAAGGTTTCTGGGGAAAAAAAAGAATGTAACATTAACTCATCAAAGAATGGAAAGAAAATGAGAATATAACATTAACTTATCAAAAATAGCTAAAAAAAACACATAATATGCGTAAAAATAAGTACACTTTAAATGTTTACATATTGACCCTTAACGTCCTCCATTTTATCAGCTCAGTCCGTAAACATCGGAAGGAATCTGTTGTCCTCCGAGTCATTAACCGTGTTATTTGAAAATACAAAGATCAATCCAGGAGGTTAAGTGTTCACGTGAACTAACTATCGTAGAAATATGTTAAGATATACCCTTCCCGGCTTATAGGTCGTTTCTTGTTAGTATACAAATATTGGATGAGCCTCCGAAAAAACTTGGAGGACGCTTAAGCTTCGCCTTTAGGGGTGGAACGCGATAGCGTTATCGGGCGCCGTTCGCCAAGCCTTCTCGTAGAAATCCGCGCTCATTCCCAAGCCGTGCAAGCGTATGTGCGTGGCCCAGTCGGTAGTGTCACGTGGGACGTCATGTCGCGTGACGTCACACCTGGTTGTGACGTCATAACCCTATCGACCCCCTAAATTTGGCGGGAACATTTTCCGCTCAATTTGGCAGGAAATTTTCTCGCCATATTTAGCGGGTCGATAGAATCATGACGTCACTGCCACGTGCGACGTCACACGTGAGGTCACATATGGCTGCGCGCGTTGCACTATGGGAATTTAAGGTCTCGCCAACGCCGACGACGGATTTTCTGCCACACGAGCTTCTGAGCGCTATCGCGTTAAAATGTATCCCGGATATTTCTCTTACGGTTTCTCCCACAAGTGTTTTTAATGTCGAGATACGGATGGATCGAATGTGTTTCATTTCTTTTCCCTCCATTATGATATGTATGTGTAGCTTTTCCGGTGTTGATTAATAAATGTGTCATACCCAGTGTTGGCGGTAACGCGTCCATTTTTCCGGTACGTGGTAACGTACTTTTTAACTTTTTTCAAAACAGTAGTGGGTAACGCACTTACGTTATTTATTTCGAGTAACGTGTAACGTAGTTCCTTTTTCTTATTAAGACTTAAAAAATACATTTAAAATGTTTTCGTGTGTCTAGACGCCAAGTCATGAGAATTCTTGAGTTTTTTTTGCCGTTTTCTGTGTGTGTTTTTTGTGAGCTCTTGCCCGACACCAATAAATAGATGACGTAAATATGTCGATCTTCTACAGGAACATCATGTTTCTTGAGCTATGGTTCGTTTGCATGCCTGTAACCTCAAAACAGTAAAACGTTTTAATTCACGATTTAAAAAAAGGAACCCGGAAGTGACATGCGTTACGTTTTAGCGGTAATGGTAACGGTAACGCGTTTCTTTAATTTTGAGGTAACGTAGGACGGTAACGCGTTCCTTTTATTTCTAAGTAAGGAGAAACTTATTCCGTTACTCTTTTTTTTTTTTTTGCGGTTACGCCTAAAACATTAATGATGCGCTTTTTTTTACGTGTTTTCGTGCTTTGTAGAGCTCTGTAAAGTAACAAAGGAGTTGTTTTTTTGTCCACCTGCCTTTTTCAAAGAGGTGGACAGATAAAGAAATTGAATTTTAGCTATTATATTGCTAGGACGTACGAACACTATACAAAGTGGGTATTCACAAAACTCCATATTATTGGTCAATATCCTCCGCGCATGCTCAGAACTAGCTCCCATTTATTACCTGCCAGGAACAACAATCCTGAATGAACGCAAAGCAGGTGGAACGCGCATAATAGTGCATCCTTCCCAATTAATGCGTCTGTGCTTGACAGAGCACAAATGAGAACTAGATTTGAGCATGCGCTGCGAAGACTTTGGCCAACAATATGGCGTCTAGCGAATATTCCTTATATTAAAGAGAGCAAGAGCGGCGTCTCATATCCTCAATATTTTCTCGCCAAATAAAGCTTTGGCTTCAGAAGTTTTCGAAGCATCGTGACTTAATGATGCCCCCGAGCCACAAATGAACCACTATGACTCATTTCCCACATGTTCTGTACAAAATCCACCTAGGGGTTTTTGTTTTACACTGTAGTCGGGTCAGTGTAAAACGCTGATTGTTCCTTAGTGAAACAGTTAAATGCTGTATAGAAAGGCAGTAACCTCTGTATGACCTAAAGTATAGGTATAAATTATGTCGCCTGGCTTTTTTGAGCCTAAATCACGTTCTTGCACTTCTTTTTGAAGGATTAGAATGAGTGCACCACCTAATGCTACCTTTGTGAAAAGTTAAACTGCACTCGGTTTTTCCGTTTGTTTATAAGAATTTCTTCACGCTCGAAAAGTGCTCGGAAACTCCTTGCAAAATGTTGATTCGACATGAAGACTCACCATACGAGCATCCGAGCAAGTCCCACTTGAGGGCTATGCGACCTTCCCAACTTTTGGGTACAAGGCGAATGAACTTGGCTTGGAAAGGATGCTCGAACAGTTGACGGTTCTTTGATTGGGCGTCGTGGTTTCCGCTGAACACCTGGAACATTTTAACACCAGAGTGGTTCCAAACTAGCCCGATGGCCCAGATACCATCGGTCAAGTATTCCCATAGTTTCTATCGCCACGTGCAAAGATTTATTCCTTGCAACTAACTCTAGCACTTGTTTGGTGATTTAGGTCAAAAGATGCTAGATTACAGCCAAGCTTCCCGGCAGTAAAGCAGAACGTTGGCACTTGTTTGGCTATTTAAGACCAAAATAACAGACTTGAGCAAAAAAAAAAAAAAAAGTTAGATTTTGGTCTATCTTAGCTTCATTAGGCTTTTCATGGACCTTTATTTCCAGACCAAAAAAGAAAATAGATTTTGGCCTAAAGTCTTGTGCTACATAGGTACAGACGCTTTTGTTCGGAAACCTGCACGTATTTTTTTTATTTTTTTTTTTTTTTTTTTTTTTACTATGCTTTGTCTGGAAACCGACACATTTGGAGGTAAGGGGTTTGAAAGACTACGGATTCGGAAGCCTTCAAGATGTTTCGTTAAGAGACAACTTCTTTTAGTAACTTAAATAGAGTTTACTTAATAAAAATTATAAGCATTGCTAAAAATGAACTGTATCATCATATAGAAGTGCCAAACAAGGGTTCTCTTCGTGTATAGAAACTCCGACGAAACCTTCGGTTACAATTATAGGCGTTCCGTGGAATTTTGTTTCCGCGCGACCTCTTTTCCTATACAACCCGCCTGTTCTCGCTGGACTCTGAATATATTTAAGAGTAAGAATGTTCACAAAATGAGAACGGTCTATCCGTTCAAACGAAAAAATGAAACGCTTACAACTCCCCTTAATGCCGAATTAGAGCGCAGCTCTTGAGGAGAAGGGGAGGGTACAGAGAGGAGGGTATGCCCCTCCCCCTCCCCTCCTCCACCTCTCCTTTGCCTCCCACTCCTCCATCCTCCTCTCCTCCCACACTCTTACCCCTCCCTCCCTCCCCCTCCTCTCCTTCGCCTCCCCCTCCTCCTCCTTCCCCTCCTCCATCCTCCTCTTCTCATTCTCGTCATCTCCCCTCCCCCTCCCTCCCTCCCCCTCGTGACGTCACTCGTGACCTTCGTGACGTCACTCGTGAAAACCTCGTGAAGGTCCTGACCTTCATGTGAGCTTCACTTGAAGGTCGGGATTTTTGAAGTCCCTTCGTGACGTTCTTAGTGACGTCACTCATGACCCTAGTGACCCTCGTGAAGTCACACCTGGCGTCACGTGTAGCGTCATCATTAGAAACGTCCCATAATACAACCCGCATATAATATAAAAGGGGGGGGGGGGACCTTTAGAGCTGCGCTCTAAAGGTCCCCCCCCCCCCCCCCCCTTTTAGATTACAGTCAGGTATTCCGTCAAATTTTGTTTTCGAGCGGCCTTCTATCTTATACAGCCTTCCTTTTCTCGCTAGACTCTAAACTTCAAGAATATTAAAGAACTGAGAACGGTTTGTCCGTTCAAACAAAAGAGATCCAGCAAAGCAGAGTTACGCGAACCCCAAAAGCCAAAAAAATCAGCCTTCGTTTGACCTCCTCAGAGGTACGCATACCCAGAGTAAACGAATACCGCCGATAGAAGCAAAATAATACACGCGTGGACCAAAGAAGCCGGGATGCAAACACGACTAGAAAGAGAACCAAGAGGACGAGTTCAAGGGAACGTAATTTGCATCCAGGCCGGCAAAAAAATTATTATCGTCTCTCCTGAAAAAAAAAAAAAAAAATTTGCGAACGCACGCTTTGAATGCACGTGTGCCTGCCTGCCTGCCTGGAAGCACGACATGAACGGAAGATCTCCAACGAGCTTCTAGGAATATCACGAGACTCTAATAAGCATACACGGGCTGTATCTAAATTAATCATTTTTAGTTGCTTGGGCCGCGAACGAGAGAAAATCAATCTTCCCTATAGTTTTACGTTTTCTTATCAATCGCTGCTTGTACTTCCGTATTTCAAGCTCCCTATCCGGGACACCCTATCTTCATAGAAAGCCGATCTGCCTGGCTGATCACGCGTAACTTTTTATTTTTTTTTTCTTCTTCATTCGCGCTAGTTCTACATCCTTGATGTAGCGTAAACAAAATTAAACTTTGTGGAAACAAAAAATAAAAAGAAGACGAGGGGGAGATTTATATTTCTGAGTGATCGCAAACATGATCAGGGCTCTTTAATGCCTTCGGCAAAGAGGCTCGCACTGCACATCGCGAGGGGGCGCTGTGGATCGACTCTCTACACAGGAATGGTAAACAGGGGCTTCTCGGGGCGAGGTTGAGGGGGTCGCTCAGAAAAGTTGACGAAGCTAATTTTTGAATGGCTTTACCCGATCTCGAGAAATAACAAGAAACCGAGCTGTTTCTTAGAGCGAACTAGTGCGCGAGTTTTCCCTTCTTCTTTTTTTTTTTTTGCATGAGGTTTCGTTAAATATTTTGTTTATGGTTGTGCGCTTGCTATGAGAGTGTTTAGGGCGAGTTGGTTATGCATACTGGGAAAATCCGTACGGCGTGAGAAGACGAGAGAAAACAAAAAGAAACGGGTCCCAGCGCTGACGTGCCCTGCGCGACACAGTTACACGAATGCAAATATGTTCCAAAAGTCAGGGGTAGTCATAGTGAAATAAGTTTACACTGGCTTAAAAACAAATAAGATTGAAGTGCTTTTTCGCAGTTAGTGCGTACTAACAGGAATCAACCTTTACCACTTAAATTAGCACCCCAGCTGAGTCCTTTCCAAAAATGTAGCAGTCTTGATGGCAGTTCTTAAATACTTGGCGAAGATTATGGGAAACCCGGTGATGACATGTTCGCGCTAACAGTGTCATAGAGTGTACCACTGCAGTTTAACTACAACCATTTAATGGCGGCCCGAGCCGAGGATGCAGTTTTATGTCCAGGAGAAATTTTGCACCTCCAGAAACGAATAAAAAATGTAATGCATGTGCAAATGTACTTTTGTCGGTGAAAAGAAACTGCAGCAACGGCCCTGTTAAAAAGCAGACAACAAGAAAATTAATCGCTCGCCCGCGCAATTCTCTTAAGTGCTCAAAAAAGCAGCCGCAAGTTTAATGACGTCTAAATTTAACTTCACGTCCGAGAAAACAAAAACGATGCCAATATCTGGCTTGTCTCGGCTGTCTGCTTTTTAAAAACAACTTTCCGTCACAATGGCATTTGCCCAAAACGTTTTAAAAAATACCCTGTACTTTTCTTTTATCTTTTATCCAGTCTCAAGCGAATTAATTACCTAAACGTCAGAAATGTCTGAAGAGTTCCCTTGACAGATAAAAAGAAGCGCGGGCACAAAAAATGAAACACGTACTTGTACACCGCACTGCCCTGTTGGCGCGCCATTGATATTAGGTCGAGAGTGCATCAATGTTCCTGGGCTGGCGGCCCTCCCAGAGTGAGGACAACCCTGTCGTCTGCCATCCAAGCTGCCATCTTACCTCCCACTAATAGGTAGCAGATTATACTCTGTTTACATAGTTGCTGGGCATTACGACTTGTGAAATGACGAGAGATAGCTTTGGGAACTAGTGAATCTTGTGTTCCGCCAACTATGCCTTTGTTTTGGGCGATGTATCCAACGCAAACGCGAAAACATTGCATACGAAGCACACATTTGCGGTGCTTCGTTGCATTAGCGACTCAAGGAAGCGTCTATTTGGAGCAATTTTTCCCGGCCTCAACGAGGTCTTATAATTCGCCATTTTGACGGGCACAAGCCGATCCACCGGTATACGAGGTCACCAGCGCCCCATCGCGGGAGAAAAAAATGGTGGCCGCGGCCGAAAAGGCGGAACTTGCCTTCCCAAGAAATGTCGCCATTCCAGCAACGCGTAGCCAGAAAGCAACAATGAGCCACTCTAATTTGGTCTTCGTGATTTTTCATTCGCCTTTAATCTCTGAGGGGTTCATTTATTTATTTATTTTTGGTGCATTGGCTGAGCAGATTAAGTGTAGCGTTGTGAAATGAGGAATTAAAAGGGAAAGAGGAAAAGGAGAACAAACATATTTGCACATTTTTGTGCTTTCACCCTGTTCCAAAATTAGGTGGCGTATCAGGACGGCTTAATAACTGCCAGAATAAAGACACATTGTCCTCCAGGTTAAAGCAATATTATTTTTGAGATCCTCGCATTTCTTCGAGCAAAGAAAGCCTCTAACGAATTTTCATAGGAAAAAACACACACACACCCAATAATAAAAACGTTTTTAGGTTTAAAGTCGCGCCCAGACTGTTCATACGCCCTACAAAAGACAGTCTGCACACATTGTCTGGGGCATTCCTCGTATGACGTCACATTGTTAATGCATGCAAAGACTGTCCTGCTCACATGTTCATGCATGTGTACGAAGCTCCAATATGCTCTAAGAGTTTCTACAAATAATAATCCATAATCGCGTCTGCAACGAATTTTGTATGGGCTTGGTCTCCTCTATACTGACAAAGCCTTGCAGATCGCCACAAGAAGCGGCCGCCGAAATCGATAAGGTAGAGCGGCAGACAACGGATGTGAGGAGAGCCACGTGACGGGCGCCCCGCTGCGGCGAGATGCCGAAATACACTTCTCCCGAGCAGCGGAATGTCCGCTCGTGCTACTCGCGCTCCTCGCACTACCGTTTCTTCAGCCGTCGGGTTTGAAACACATGTTTCGGGTCCTCGCCGCTGCAAAAGCTGTGCGCTGACGTCCAGGTTCCCCGAGAATTGCTCTGCGCTACCATATCCTCGCACTCCAAATCTGCGACCGGGCACTCTATGGCTCCGTCGTCCAACCGCCAGGCTTTGCGAGAATAGAGGAGGCTATGGTATGGCGTACGAGCAGTGCGACAACGGCTCAGAGAAAAACCAAAAGCGCAAACATCCGGAAGGCGAAAGTTATCAGCGTGTTCGAAGCGAACCTTGGGCGATCCGTCCGTGTTGGAAAGCTGGCCGTAAGCGACGCCGTCTTGGCTGAACATGACGGTGAAGGAAGTCACCCAGGCGCCAAGTTGAGAATCGCCTCGGGTTTCCACACCGTAGACGGTCTGGGGTCGAACCAGCTCCGCCTCGATGAACTCCTTGTCGTTCAGGTGTGGCACCCAGGAACCGTCTGTATGGTGCAGAGACCACCGGGAAACGAACCTTTTTGTTTTCTTTTTTTAGAATCCCATTAAGCTATTTACGTGATCGGCACCTCTTGGACACAGAAAGCGTCTGATTGGTTCCGAGTCCTTGCCGAAGGCTGACACAACTCTCGCGTCCAATCCGAGACATGCTCAAAGCGCGTTTCGAAAAACAAAATGGCGGAGTCAGAAAGTTGGCGCAGCAGATACTGGAGGGCGCGCATTTCTGAAAAGGGTCTATTGTTTCGTCGACGTCACTTTTAGGGTCTTGAAATGAAGGAATTTAGCAGGTTTCTCAAATCACAAATGGACAGAAGTACTGCTGTAACGATTCTCAAACTGAAAAATACCGGACGGCGGACAGTATACGTCCGTTCTGTTTTTCTTTACATGTTTTTGCAGCTATATATCTGCGTGAAAGTTAAATAAAAACTATGCTACTCATAGTTGTGTTGCAAATCTGTCACACTTGTTCTCTGGAAGCGAGATCGCTGCCAGATACGCTAGTTTAAAAACTGATGTTCGTGGCCAAGCTAAATTGTTCACGTATCATTGGGCTTTGTTCAATATGTTATTAACGCATCTAATCAGATTATAAAAAAGAAAGTCATATCTGAACAATAGAAGCTAGGTGCTCTGCCGCTGCGAAAATAACATGAAATAGTTTAAATGTACATCATCTGTACGCTATTTTTTGTGGAGTTGAAGACACGCTTGGTCAATAGGGCCATAGCTGAACATATATAAAGAACAGCAAGAAACCATTATATACAGTTTGCCTCGTATAAGAGGTATAAGAGCGAACGGGTTTTGTTTGTTTTAGAGCGCAGCTTTTAGGGGCCCGTTCCCGGCTTCAGCGGCGTCGGCGTCGCTGTCGGCGTCGGCGTAACCAAGGTCACCCAAAGTTCACGCGACCCCCAAGGTCATCCCAAGGTCACGTGACCCCAAAGTCACCCCAAGGTCACGTGACCCCCAGAGGTCACGTGATCCCTCCCCAGGGTCACGTGACCCCCAAGGTCACGTGACACCCAAAGTCACGTGACCCCCGAGGTCACGTGACCCCCCCCCCCCCCCGACGTCAGGTGACACCCCCCCCCCCCGAGGTCACGTGACCACCCCCAGGGTCATGAGACCCCCGCCGAGGTCACGTGACCTCCCTGAACGTCATCGTCACTGATGACGTCACCGGCATCTGCATCGTCAGCGTCATCATCACTGATGACGTCATCAGTGACGTCACTGATGACCTCACCGGCATCCGCATCGTCATTATCACGGATGACGTCATCAGTGACGTCACTGATGACGTAAAGGACATCCGCATCGTCATCGTCATCATCGCTGATGACGTCATCCGAGTCCGCATCGTCATCGTCACTGATTATGTCATCAGTGACGTCACTGATGACATCATCGGCATCGTCACGCGACCCCCAAGGTCACGTGACCCCCCAAGGTCACGTGACCCCCCCCCCCCCCAGGTCACTTCACCCCCCCCCCCCCCAGTACCCTTCCCTCCTCCTCCTCAAGAGCTGCGTTCTAATTCGGTGTTACAGGGAGTTGTAAACGGCTTTCACTTTTTTTAATGTAACTTTAAATAAACATAATTTCTCGGGATTACGCTGTTCACGGCAACGGACGTAAGGACGCAAGTACAGAGTGCTCAGTGAATACTTGATTAACAAAAAGTGACTAATTAACTTTCTGCATTTATTTTAGATCGCATGTTTTAATTATAGATTTGCAGGCTGTTGTTAACTGGGGCTAAAGCATTTTAGAGATTTCGGAAGAAAATAAACTTCGTGTTATTGCGCGGCGAATTCTGGCAATCGTGGCAGCAGGAGGTCGAAAGTAACCACGAAAAAGTGCGGAGAGGAAACAGTTTCACTGCCGAAGAGGCGTCAGAGTGTGACGTGTGGTGACGCATAAGTTGCTGTGAACACGCGACAAAAGATTTGGACGAATCGCAAATTGGCTCGAAGCGCGCTCCCATGAGGCGATTCAAAGTTGAAAGTCATCACGTGCGTCTCCTATATATATGCAATAACTGGCGCTTATGGTTTTTTCTTATCATTTTTACACCAATGAAACAGATATCTCAGGGTGTTAGATAAAGCTACGAAGAAGAAACAAATCGCTGCTGCTGCTGCTACGCTGATTCTCGTTCAAATGCGTCAGCATTTCGTCGTGGCCGTTCTATATAAAAATCACGGTGAACGCAACATTTCGGCACTTGTCTGCGGGATGAACATTCCCGAAAACCCCTTGTCAACCTGGTGGAAGCAGATCAGTTCACTTAGCGTGTGCATGAGGGACGTGCGCGCGTGCGATATTAGAGAAATATTAATAGATTAAAATGTTCTAAGGTTTTATTTAATTTATTTATTTATTTTAACATACTGCAGTCCCGTTGCGGTTGTTGCAGGGGTGGCAGCTATAAGACAATTGCGATGATGCAAATTTAAAAAAGGCACACAACATAAAACGACATAAAAATCAACATCCACCGCTTTCAACGGCACACAGAAACTCGTACTAGGTTTTAAATCGCTCTGTGAGAATAGAGAGTCTTATCTATTTAAAATGCTTATCATAAAGATCCTCTCGACTCGACCATTCCAAGGCAATGACACCCAACTAACAGGTTAAAAAAAAAATTCGATTCGATAATTTTTCTTTCCTCGGGCGATTCACGAATGGAATGAACTCACAAACAATTTTGTCGTTTTACCATCTTTTGATCAGTTTGTTTCGGCAGTTGACTAGCATTTTTTTTTAATATATTGTTAGTTGGTTTGACTATCGCTTAAATTTATATTCTCACCTCACCCACTATGGCTCCTTGGCTGTAGCCAGCAGCATTCTACATAAGTCAATGCAAAGGTCATCTGCTGGGACTCACCGCTGGAAAATCGGGACGCCTGTGGCCCGCTCTTGGAGTCTCGACTGCTGCTAGCTTTGAGCAGGGAGTCCTTCAGAGGCTCCGGTCCGTCGATCAGTCGAATGAACTCGCTGCAGCCGGCTGGAATCATAATTATATAATAATATTAATAATGTTTTTCTTTAGTGCCCCAAAAAAGCCAGCAGGTCTTCACTTTATTGCATAAACAGGACACGTGCAAAAAAATACAAAAAAGAGAAGGAGTGCAAAACGAACAAGAGAAAAGATGACGAACCAAAAATGCACTAAATTCACAAAGTAGCAACATGCTTTACCACTTGCTTCCTGAAAACAGGGAAGTCATTGATAAGTTTATCTTTGCATTTTCCGAGTGATTAAAAAGTGATTGTATGCTCGTTGAAGGAGTACTCCGGCGTTTTCTTCAAAATCCCCGATTTGTCTCAAAATTTGCTAAAAAAAAAACACCAGCACACATTGCTGCGGTAGTAACCCGAATATTGGACTAAAATAGTTTGGTTTTCGCAAAGTCATTGAATTTACGATTTTGGTCCTCACCGCGATTTCCAAAGTGAAAGTTTCTACTGGCAACAATCATAAAGTGACGTGAGGGTGAACACAGGGTTTCACTCTTTGGGCTGTAGACTTTGTTCCTAACTGATTACAAGCAGGTTGTTGTGTCAAATGAATGCTTAGGAAGCTTGCTCCAGCACCCGCGCATCAGCACAAAAACAAATATTCGGCATAATCCATTTTTAGACTGCACGCTCGACCTGCAAGCCTGCCTTCCCCTAACGTCACGGCACCGAAAAGCGCGGGTATATTTAAATGTTGGTTCTGGATTTTTTTTTTTTTTCACTTGCCGATTTTGTCATAATTGTTCTAAATTTCGCAATCCTAAATAGCATACCTGAGAGGGTAAAGGCCGGTGAACCTGAAAATATAGTTAGTTGAAGTAGCTCAAGAAATCGACGGAGTACCCCTTTAAAGCTGACAGGATATACACGATATTAACAAAACATGCAGAATTATTTCTAGTTAATCGAGGTGGGACACGAGTATTTACTTTACCTAGAAGCATACTATTTTATACGATTCCATTCACTGGCTTCTGGAAAAACGTTCGATCACGCTCTGCTCTTGTATTGTACAGAGTCTTCAGGGAAACTTTGTCAAGAAAACACATATAGTCAAAACAGACTAATCGAATTTATGCGCTACGTTAAGCTTAACATGTTCAGTAGATGAAGCCTCGCGATATGCGTAATAAAGCACAGTGAAGAACTGATATGCTAATGTGTTTTTTCTTGACTTTTTTTTATTTGGAAAGGAGTTTGTCCTGTGCATTTTGATTTATTGATTAAATCACAAAAACTCCAACTATTTACTTTGAGTGTTTCGTATTTTGTGTTTTTGAACATTGTTATATTTCTATTATCGACGATTATTACGAACATCATTTCCCGCGTCTGATTATTATATACAATAATCACTACATTCTCTCACGTCTTGATTTCACCCTGATGCATCGCGCTAGATGTTTTTGAAATTAAATATATAAAAAAGAAACGAAAACAAAATAACTTAAAATACCATTAAGTTGTAACGATGACCGAATCTTTTAAAACACTAACCTACAAATTTTCAAGAAATATTTATTTTTGGTAAAGAGATCCTAAACAAAAAAGAACGTTACAAGGGAACACGAACAACATAGCGGCAATAGATTTTCACATTTTTTTAAACCCCCTGAGGATGGGTGGACAAGGAGAAGACCTCTTAGTGGAATAGATACGAGCAGAATAACAGAAGGTAACTTTTCAACTCAGCTAAGTTTGAGACGTTGTCTCCCGTCATTCTGTTTCCTCTTTTCCACTTCGGATTCCTCTCATTCTCCACCCAGTTTCATGTGGTTCACGATGGTAAGCCTACACCCAGCTCGCCTGCCATCACTTTTTTATTGCCAACAACTTTGTCGTATACTCACGGTGAGGTGTGGGCTTCGGCGTGACGATGACCATCGTGGTGGGAGAAACTTCCTCTGAAAAAATGAAACAAAAAAATGCATCGCTCTTGAGCAATAGGTTTGGGACGCAGCTCCCTTAGCGTCAATATACAGAGCTGGCGGTTTGAATTTCTTGCTGACGGACGGGCGCAAAATGGCGCGAAATTAATTATTGCTCTGCCGCGTGCGCGCTTATGTACCTTGACGTACTTTGGCGGCAGGGAGAATTGCCGTTGACCAGGTAAAATTGTTCGTTGGGGAGCGCTGCGGATGTCACTCAGGTTGGTATTAATTAATTTACAGACTACATTAACTACGCTATCAAAACGTCACTCCCCTCAGTTTGATGCAACGACCCAGTTTCTGCGCGAGCATCACAAGTTCAGCTTTAAGCATGCAAAAGTTGTGTGTAAAGCCCACGAATACATAAAGACAATTTCGGGGTTTGACGTCTTTAAGCGGCAACGTTAATTAGAGCCTCTAAAGAGATAGCGTTCCTCACTTACTATCATATAATGCAATATTATTTATGGTTCTTGCTAGTATGCAGGAACGCATATTCCTTTAAAAGTTCCTCAAGTGAGCTTATGAACAAACTCAAAACCCTTAAATGTTAGAACAATATTTTAGTTTCTTACTGTTGTTAGCGGCACGCTGTGTTGTTATATATGAACTCGCTGAAAGCTCATAATACAAAAGCGCAATTAAAGGTGTTTTGATCCCCAGAGCGTACATTTGATAAATATTTATCTCCTGTGCGTTTTTATCCGGAAAAAAGTATTGCCCGTTTATTTTACACTCCATATAAAGTAAATCTTGGCTAGAAATGAGGGTTGACACTTAGCTGGGCATTTTTCTTGCTGATACCGAACAAGGTACAATTCCCTAAGCATCCGAAGGGGTCTGAATACTTCCGAAGTTTAACGAGTTTTTAATTTTCAGAATACCGGATCATTCCATTGTGCGAGTTATTGGAGGGACCGCGTGTGCTGTGTGGAACGGACGACCAACCATCGAAACAAAGAAGAACGTGCAGCCGATGTGTGAGAGGCAGGTTCACAGGCAATGCCACAATCAGTCGTGCTGGCGCGGGCATTTCTTTCCTCCAGTTTCTCTCTCAAGAAAGCACTTTCTCACTAAACATTAAAAAAAAAATGTTTTTTTTTTTAAACAGTCGGTTGGGAGAAGGCCTCCACACGCGTCATCATAGTCAGATCGATCGAGGCGAGAGATTGGGCCCGAGTGCTGCGTCAGTGTTCGGCTGCGGCTCGTGGCCAATCAGCGCGTCGAAGGTCGGACTCGGGACCAATAGCCGACCGAGCGCGATCCGACTGTGATGACGTTTCATAGAAGAAGAGGAAACCATCCGGAGGCCTTCTGTCTAGGTGGTGTTAATTGGGAGACCTGGCAAAAAAAAAATATTTACGCGAAAAAAAAAAATGTAGGGCAATATTGGCGGCGCGAGACGCGATTTCGTCGGTAGTCACCTCCTTTCCACTTGTTTTTTCTCTGGGCATTTCGGGCACGTGGAGGAGAGGTCGATTGGCTTGGCCTTTACGTTGAGGTGGAGCGAGTGTATGACTATATCGTTGAGGTGGAAAAAGGGTATTACCATATCGTGACATCATGGACATTGCGCGCAGAATTTGAAATAATCTCGCGTCGTCAAGATTGGTCTAAAAAAAAAAACTTTTTTTTCGCGTAAAGTTTATTTTTTGACACGCGTGTCCCAACCAAACTGCTTAAAAAAATTACTTTTTTTCTATCTTTTCAGTCGTCTTTTAAAGGAGGTGTCTTGGTGAATTCTGGACGGATCATCCCCAAGAGGATACGGAAATTGACAGATTGAGAAACCCAGGGTGTGACTTATTATGCTCGCGCTTTTTGCTTCTTAATTCATTCCTGTGCGTTGTTTTGCGGTGTTCTTTTTTTCTTTTGCTAATGCGCAAAATCATTGGTTGAGGAAGGATGTTAAAGGGCGACCTACAGGACCGTCTTCGGCCGGACAGAAAGCCGATTCCCAGTTTCTTTCTCTCCCTTCCCTCTCGCACCCTTCTCTCCCCCTCTCCCCGCAGGAGCGTGTCTCTTAGTTACTCCCGGCAAGAAAGGAGAAAGGTCTACCTTTCTCTCGAATGGAGGGGAGTAATTGAGGGAGCGTTTTCTCCTTTCCGGTTGCTCGACTCGTCAATGCTCAGAGCTTGTCACCCGCTGCGCTTTGCGAGCTTTTCATTAGCATAGACCTTTTCCGCTTACTCTCGCCCCCGACCGCCAAGTAGGCAAATCCGCTATGGGCGACGAAAAAATATCAGAACGTTTCAACCTGCAAATAGTTAGAAAATAGATGGCAGGCAAAACGAGAATGTGTGACGACAAAGCAATATTTTCGCCCATACTGGAAGTGACGACACTTCAAGATGGCGGCGCCCTTGCGAAAAAGGTCTATAGAAGAGCGTACCGCACGAGCAGAAGAAGCGGATCTTGATGTCGATGCAGCGTCCCGCAGGCTGGTCCTGGTCCCGGCAGGTGTAACCCTCGTTGACGTCACAGTGCAGCGCCGTCTGCCCGGCCTCCTCGTAGGGCCTGCCACTCGAGGACTCGGCGCACTCCGCTTCAGTTACAGAGCCCTAAGAAGAGGCCGCACCGGTGTTTACGCACGGCATCATCGGTGAGGAACGACGGGCGAACGACACACGTCGGCCCGTAGCATCGCTCCTTTGGTACGCCGCGTAAGGTTAGCGAGCGAAGGAAACATTTTCGGTTAAAATTTCTGGATGGTATTCATAACAATATACTAAGGATAAATAGGGATGCGTCCTTACAGTGCACTCGAAAAAAAACTAAAACCGTGCTTCTGTCACGCTGCTGTGTAGCTTTTTTTTTGTGAGTTTTTGAAGAGTGAAATAGGTTGCCTAAAAATGCATTCTTCGCAATTTTTTTTTGATAGTGTCTTAAATAGTTATTTCGCTTGTGTTTCATAGATGGTGTTCTTATTTTTCCAGTTGTTTTTGGTAGCGTCTTTTATATTCCTGTTGTGCTAATATATAGATATTTATTTTTAATCCGAGTGATGTCTTATGAATACTTTTTTGTACCCCAGTATTTGTACTAGTAGTTGTGTTGATATATATATATATATATATATATATATATATATATATATATATATATATATATATATATATATATATATTCAAGTGGTGTTATTTTAGTGCTTTTGTGAAGTCCGCCTTCTGCTGAAATGCCTCACGGAAATGCAGGCTTTCTTGTAAATAAACAAAAAAATATAGCCCACGTCCAAACAACACGCAAAGGTGGACAGAGCTTATAAAAGAAACCTAGAAAGTACCCTTCTCCTGGTAGCCTCCGACTGCTAACCGACCTGTCGCTAAGCTGCAGCAAAACAATTCTTACCACGAGATTTTCAGGGCGATCCTTTCCAAGGCTATTTTAGCAGGGAATTTACAGGCATTAGATTGCTAAGTGAAGACAGCAGTGGCTAAGGTAATGTCGTGGGTATGTTAATAAACATACTATCGAATTAATTTTTCAACGCAAGCTAATCTGTACAACAGACGAGGTTGGTCATGTAGCGTCTTACTTACTAACTTCCCTTTCGTGGCAATATACTGCAAGAGCTCACTCCCGAGTGTGTACTCCATTTGACGCGAATGAGAGAGAGCTCATTTGTTTGTAATGTCGTATACGGGTGTAGTTGCAGGTAGCTTAAGAACAATTAAAAACGAGGACAAAAGCAAAAATTCAACACAACAGATTTGTAGCCTTTCTTTTCCTCTTACCTCGTTTTTTTTTTTCCTTCGTGACATAGCTTTTTGCGGTTATTGAAACAAAAGCACAACCCAACTGCTCAATAAAACACGAACAAAACACACAAAAAAAGGCAGGGAGTCTCTCTCCGATGTCCGACATTCACAACGTTGTTGACGTTGCGCAAAAAGTGTAACGAAATGCGTGACTCGTTACTTGCGAATAAAAGGAACTCGTTAGTGATCTAAGTTATGTCACAATAAAAAAAAAACGCGTTACTAATACCGTTAAGCACAAAAATTAACGCACGCTACTTTTTTTTTGTGAATTAAAGCGTATTTACTGTTTTAACCTTACAGGCATGCCTAAGCCCCATATTCTCAAGAACCATTACGTCCATGCAGAAGCTTAACACAGCATTATTCTTTTGGGAGTTCTGATTCTGAAGGTGTGTGCAATTAGAGCATAAATTTCCATGACTTGGCACCCAGAAACACACAAAAAAAAATTGAAGCGCAATGTTTTTGTTACGTTTTGACAAGAAGCTGTAGCGGGTAACGTAACTACGTCACTCATAGCTGGGAATAAGTAACGTAAGTACATTGTCCGTTATTGTTTTGAAAACGTACCAAGTACGTTACTACATTCCCGAAAAAAGTAAGGCGTTCCCGGTAATAGTCGGTCACAGGTTGAGAGTTCAGAGGACGCTCATCTCACTTGAGCAGAGCGAACACTGGATATGGAGAGGAGACCGCCTCCTCTTCAGAGTTCCCTAAATTGAGCGGTGAAACTGGCCGTGCATTGACCACGTTACGTCAATTTTCCCGCTACATTTAGCGGGGGACCTAAATTGATGTCTAGGTAATGTGACGTCCGGTGATGTGACATCACTTTTCCCGCTAACTTCAGCGGGGAAACGGAATTAGCGGTTAGGACACATGACGTCAATTTCCCCGCTCAATTTAGTATGGAAACTGCATTAGCGTATATGTTACGTGATGTGAGGTCACGTGACGTCAATAGGAAGTTTTCGTAGACCGCGTGTCCCCCACCGCTAACCCCGCCGCAACGAAGAAGCCGCTAGTGCGCCTGCGCGCCGATGGCCTTGACTGTAAAGTTCCGGATATCGTAGCAGGTTGCGGACAGCGTTGCGTGACGGCGGTAACCATCTACGAAAAGTCCCTAGTGTCCCGGCCAAATATAGCGGGAAATGCCCGGACTGGCTGACGGACGGACAACATTTAGGGATGGGGGACTGGAGGGAGTCGTTAGAAAGCATTTTATGGGTTAAAAATGGAAGGGTTTACCTCCTGGCAAAAGTCTCCCAGCTCGGGACGAAGGTTCAGACCGGGCTCCCGTTCGCCATCTTGGCCCTCGAGTCCCGGATGGTTCTCGTCCACCCAGTCGGACCAGAAGGAGCAGGCCGGAGGTGTCGTTTCGACGAGAATGGCGGGCGTCGGGGTCGCGGGTGGCAACGTTGGCGGAGGGGGCGGGGTCTCGCCCCCGCAATCGCAGAAGAAACGCACCTCGAAGTCGGCGCAGCTCCGCCCCTTGGGTTGGCCCTTGTTGCGGCATACCAGGCCCGTCGTGAGGTCGCACTGCACTCCGACCAGACCACTCTGGTCCCACGAAACCTGAAGAAATCAAAGCAGAATGTAAAGGAAGGATGCAAGAATTTTCTGTACATACAATAAGTATCGCTTCGAATTATTTCTTGATATTGATAAGCTGCAAAACACGCGTTAGATTTTTTTTTTCTTCGCGCAATGGTAGTTGCGGAGAAAATACGAGAAACACGAGCATCCTTCACCCCATCAACCGCAGCCAGAACAAGTGGCCACGAAATCTGGATCCGATTCATAGAGACACTTGTTTTGTTTACTTTCGTCTCCAGCCACGTAGTTCACACGTCCGGTACGGGCGACGAAGAAATGTATATAATCATCGCAACCTAGAACACTTAAAAAAATTAGAAGGATTGGCAACCGTGACCAAAACAGTGAACATATCCCAGTTGCGTGGAAATGGGCAAACGATGTTTCCTCCCATGTCCGAAGTTCCGCTATTTAAGATGGCGTCGACTACATTGAAAAACGTCTATGTGATGACCGTAATTTTGTTAGTCTATACGTCGCCAATATTCATCTCGCCACGGGCTGGGGTTGGCAACGCATAGTGCATGCGGTCAGTTCCATAGACTGTTAAGGTTCGGCCATTCCCGTCATCGCTGCAAGTGGGCACGAGCCACTATATCGGAATCTATTTTGACGTATTGATGGCCACGAGCCGAAATCGAATGTTCAGGCAGTGATCACGTCCACTGTATAAGCAACATTGATATACCGCCGAAGCTGGGATCACGAAGCGTGATGTCGATATCCTGAGGAACGCTAACAATGCGATCCCCACAACTTCGTCATCAAGGTTTGCGAAAGAGCGAGTGAAAGAAAACCCCCGCTTTTACTCCCGATATTACGCGGGGACAAAGAATCAGTTTTGGTCAGTGGCGTTGCGTGCGACAATACTTGGGGCCCACTTGTGCAAATAAGCTCGTGTAAAATGAAAAACACTCGCCCTCCATATCCTAGCACGGCCCCTGCAAGCAAGCAACGCACGAGACATTGCAGTTCAAATGTACGGAGTATACTCTGTGCCTTTTGTGAATTAGCGTTCAACAGCAAAATAATCGCCATAAAAAAAAAAAAATAAAAAAAATTTTTTGACTATCAACAGCGTGGGAGTAATAAGCTTTCTTTCCGATATTCCTTCAAATGTTCATAAACTACAATGAATGAATGTGACATATTAAGCTTAGATAAAACATTAAACAAACGCAAAAATGTGTCCAATTTTTGCGCCGTGCAATATCGCAACTTGTCTTTTAATACCAAGGTCATAAATTAATTTCCGTAGAGGCGAACACTCGTGTTATGTATTTAATACAAAACAACAAGTTAACCGCCGATAGGTCTTATGACAAAAGTACGGATATACCGAGAAAAAAAAGAAAGAAAATAGGCGCGAACTAAAAGTGCTCTCCGATAGATGGCGCCTGTGTGTTCTCTCGTCGCTAAAGATTTTAAGAGCTTTTAAAGCAGGCTGTTGTAGGCAGTCATAAATTTATGATTCAGCCTTAGTCCGTGAGCACTTCTCACCTGGCTGTCGGCCTCTCTGCACTCCATGGCGGTCACCGAGGGGCACTGGAGGAGACCGGTGTCCCTCGCCGACTGAAGCGTCTCCAGGTCTCCCAGGGCGTCCAGGCTATGTCCGTTGAGCCAAGAGCTCCAGCCGTGCTCGCAATGGGGCTCGGGAACCGGGGTCCATGGAACAGGGGTCGGGGTTTCTTCTATGGAAGAACAGGGAAGGAATCCTATTTACTGGCACGTCTAGGATTTCAAGTGCCTTCGTTACATCACCTCGGTGACTCCATTCGACTTGATTTTTTTATTCACTTTTTTGTCGATCCTTACGCCTATTTGGAAGCACTAACACTGTAAGAATGAAGTGATCTTTTTGTAAGATTAATCCCGATTTTACTATGACACTGCTGCGTGCATACTGAAAAACACCGGATGCGATGGGGACACAGAAAAGGGGACAAAAGCAACACCGTCTCAAAAAACAGCTGAAGAACCTGCAGCAAAACACAGGAATCCGTGTTTTCGGACGATGTTGCGTTTTTCCCTTTCTGTTTTATGTCCTCTAATCTCCGTGGTTTCTCAGCTAATATTTACCTGCCCAATTTACTCTAAATTGCGCTCGTAGTGTGGTTGGCGATTTCTAATAAATTTTAGAGTGTCTTTATGCGAGTTTGAATGTGCCAACATATAGTCCCTGACAAGTAAAGAAACGCAGGTTGTAACTTCAATGTTTATACTTCCTTATTTTTTTATTTCTTCTTCGGCATTCTTAATTGTTGATGCAATACCACTTTGAAGACAGAGAACTGTGATGATGTTTACATTTGGGCGAGTCGGTACAAAAGGCCAAACCAAGACTCTTCCACGTAAGGCCACATCCAAAGCGCAAATATGTGACCTCGACAAACAAACAGGTGCAAACCCTCGATGAATAAACACTCTCCACTGTAAATTCTCTCACAATGAGCGAGAGGTTATCACCCGGTGTCTCCGAGACGGACGCGTGCGTCTGCCCGCTTTGCGGCAGCTCTCGTCAAACTTTGGCGTCATCGCAGCTCGGGGAGCCACTACCGATGACGTAATTGGCAGGCCTTGTCTCCCAGGTGGTACCGGTCAATGTCGCAATCCCTCGGCTCTGGTGCGATCATAATCCCGTGTGATCCGTACACGCCCCATCCAGCGTCTCCCAAAATGTCAAGGACTGTAGGGCGTGCAAATTCGCCTGCTCTTTGCGAAACCCGTGCGTTAGTTTACGCCCACCGTGTTTACGCCCCAGATGGGGTTTACTTGCTTTCGTTTCCTCCCGACCTCGATGAATGACGGCGCGCGCTTGGCTGCCTTGTCGTGCGCGTTCTCTACGCCACCCGCTGGTTGGCGTGCCCTTCCTTGCGTTGCGATGCGCAAGGGCGCTTGTTAGAACACTTTCACTCCGCGTATAATACCGTGAGGCTGATTTCGAACGCAATAGCTTAAAGATGAAGTGAAAAGGCAGTTATAATTATAATGCAACTAAATGCAAAGGCAGGAAAAAATTTGGTTATGTAAGCCTAAAGGCTGATATATATATGTAAGATTCAGCGTTAGACCCAGGAAGTTTCTTTCTCACTTCCAATCTGTGAAAGCTGTACATCGTGTTTTCTTATTCGAGTCCTTTTGATTTTTGGTTTTAAACTTCGCCGTTAAATGCCTGCTTCGTTTAATTTCACCTCCACCTCGGGTATCCAGACTTGTACTGTACTTATTATGATAACCCAAATTACTCGTATTGGATATAACTTTTGGCGGTAATTTTGTAATCATTTTATTACATTCATTAACAAGTAATCGCGAGATTAACGATTACTTTTGGAGCTAATAAAATACCCCTAACCGTTACTATATTTTACTTCCCTTTTTTACAACGCCTTTTTTTTTACTTTCCTTTTAAGAAATTTTAGACCGAATCTCTGACATGAGGGTATTTTACTGAAATTGGTGGATTGAGGCGATAAGTAGTTCGGTGATTCTAACTAAAAATTAAGCCTTAAAAAAGACCCGGTTTCAAGCGTGAAGAAAAAATATGTCGTTTTAAAAAGCTAAAGTAATCAAAACTTTTTTTAACCAACGGTTAATTACTTTTTGTCTCAAGCAATTAATCTTATTAAATAATATTTAATCTAATAATAACCTTAATATAATAATTAATCTATTAAAAATTATATTAAATACTTTTAACCGGGAGTCATGCCACTTGTAATCGACTCCTCTCTTCTTTTTTTTTTTTTTTGAGAAACGCTTTTAACAGTGCACGTATCCAGCTGCAACCGATAAGATTCATGATGGCGGACCTTGTCCGTGGTATCTGCGAATCATCTCACGGCAAACAATGGGATACCGGGCTATACATACCGCAGGGGCAGTAGAAGCGAACTTCGTAGTCCTGGCATTGCTCGGGAGAATTTTCGCTGTTCCAACACTGGAGACCGCGATCGACGGCGCAGGTCACTTTTTGGCCGGACTGGCTCCAATCCGTGTTACCTACGTGCAAAGTGACAAAAAAAAAAAAAAAATAGCGATGAGACGAATCGTTCAGCTACAATAATAATAGCTGCGCCGCAAGCGAGGAACCTAGGCTAAGTATTTTTTTCAATATAAACTGGTTCTTGTTGCACTACCTTCTTAAGCATTTAAGTAGTTACAAGCTCCAATTAAATGGCAAGAGTCGCAAGACCTATAAAGAGTGTGCTTATTGCAGGTTTTGTAAACACACTTCGTACGTGCGTCACAAGGAAAATATTTGTTAGCAATACACAAATAAAAAAAACAAGATTCCTGTACCTAGAAATATTGTCTTCAATGAAAATAATGAAAATTTTGAAGTAATTTTACGAGTGCTGTCCCGTTTATTTTAGAATCATTTTAATATACGCATGGGAAGCAGGTATCATTCCATACCCAAGCCAGACCTCATTATTGGTTACAACAGTTTTAAAACCGTTAAAGCAAAGCCTAGATTCTCTTTAGTACTAACACGAAGGCGATATTTCGGCGGCATTGTTCGCGGCATGTGGCAGGCATTGCAACATTTTTTTTAATTATTATTTTATTTGATTATAGAGTATTATTCTATTCCAAACTCTGCCCCTTTTTATGTGATGGTGGGCGTGTTCTGAGATGGTTCTATTGTTCGCCGTGGCTGACTGCCTCCCCTTTCTGGGGGAAAACAAGCTCACGGACAGTTCATTTAGAGCGAATGATGTCGCGTACCGGCGACAGTCCTGCAGTTGATGGCCGCTGGCTGGAGACAGACTTTCCCGTGCGCTTGCATTGGTCGCAAGTCTTCGAAGTCTCCGGGCCCTTCTGGGCTGTCGGTGCTGAACCACGGAGTCCAGCATCCGCCCTCGGGTTCAGGCGTGTAAGCTGTACAGAGTAACATGTCGCAAAGGGGAAACAAAAAGCGACCACTGAGACACAGCATCGCGTAATTACTTCTTAATGAATTTGAATAACGAGTAAGGAAACATCTGGTGTTGTGGCACTGTACGCCGTAACCCGAAAAGAAAGAACTTCGGAAAAAAACGAAGCACACCGCAACGTCTCTTTGAGCCGCTACTAAATCTTCCGCTTGCTGTTTTCTTAAAGGGGAGCACGGCCAAACCTTTTACTGTCCCTGACTTGTTTTCAAATTGGTTCAATTCAGTGATAGTCACCACAGCACATTTAACCCAACGTGACAGCCACCCTTGTTTTTTTTTGTTTTTTTTTTGGCGAAGGTACTAAAGTTTTGTGTTTGGTCGGAGCGGCTAAGAGGCTATACTGGCAGCACTGTAAACATGACGTAATATGTTCTATTATAGGGCAGTATGGAAGCAGAACAGTTTGTTCTTGACGGGTTACAGGAAGTTAGATAATGTGAAATAATAACTACCTAAACTCATGCCAACATAAAAAAATGCGCGCTCGAATATGGCTTATTTTTAGACTACCTGGTCGACTTGCAAGTTACGCAGCGTGTGACGTCACCCCACTGGAGAGCGCGGGAACATTTATATATATATATCTTAAAACTTACTTGTGGTTTCTTGCGGTGCTTCGGTGCCGCAGCCTTCCAGGTGCAGGCAGCTCACTTCGTTGTGCGCGCACTGGCACTTCTCGCACTCTTTCTCGAATACCTCTCCCGGCTGCAGAAACCGGGACAAGAAAATATCACTAAGACCCATCAAAAGACCACCAGTCTGTCATCTTAAAATCTAGAAAGAAGCAATATGCTCAGAGTGGTAAAGACGATAATTTACTAAACTCGTCTTAAAAATACATAGTGCAAGAAGACAAACAAAGAAGCAGAGAAGAACGCATTAGAGCGAAAGCATGCATTAACGTGCAACGGGATGAATAATTTTACGCTGGACGTCACATTCTCCATGGGCCTATATCCCCGTGCCGCCAGTTTACAAAGTGACCTTTGCACTCTATGTAAACCTATCGTATACTTGCCGAGGTTCATAACCTTACCTCTGCCTTATTTTTTAATGCTTCTGAACCTGATATTTTAACTCAAATTCCAGTACTTTACACCACGTTGAAACTCCACAAGCTCACCCTTTCACTTTTACCTGATTATTTTTTTGGTTATGAAATGTGGCAGTTTCAGATAAAAACAAACTAAACAAGTGGTGCTCGAAAATGGCTTTTTATCTACTTCAGATTCCTTGCGCTAACATAAGCGCGGGAAGGATTAATTAGAGCGAGTCGCCATCTTCTTAAGCATCCGTGCCATCGACCGGCCGTTCAATGGCCGCCAAATAATGAAAGCAATTTGCCGGGGAAAAGAAAAGCATGACAAGAAAAGACGGGTCATGTTCGAAAAAGCGTTATGTTATAATTACCTTCGCGTTGGCATTTATATACTATACTTCGTTTCAGCATAAGTCCAGACACAGCCGACGCAACGAGGGGATGGGACAAATTAGACAGCATCAAAACCACACGATGATGGTGTTCGTCATGTGTTTGTAGCTGTTCCATCATCGCTGAAGCAATCGTAAACAAAAAATGCCTAGTGACCTGCGCTTTTAACGCTGCTTGATTGGTACCATTACCTATAGTAGCGTGGGCTATGTATGTCTAGAACTAAACTGAAACGAAGTATAGCGATAGTTCGAATAGCGCGCACACAAAAGCTTTGAGTACGCAAAGAAATACGCATTCGCCGTGCGCCAATACAAAACGCAGTGTGGGCTCTGCGCACGTGCAGTGGTGACGACGCTTTTTTTTTTTTTTTGCGAGCAATGCTTTTGCGTGCACTATTCTGAATCTTCCTAGTCTTGCTAGTTCAAAAGTATGCCATTCTTAGGCTTACAATGTTAGTGTGGCGGATGTATTAGTTTATACATTATGAGGTATATGGCCAGTGACTTGACGAAACGGAGGTAGGGAGGGGGGAGGCAGAAGATGAAAGCGCGCGGGGGCGTCGGAGTACCGAGCTCTGGTTGAAACGATTAGCGGGGACATGCAAAACTAGATGCCTCTGTCTCTACTCCCTATTCAAACAGTGAGTAGAAACAAAGGCAGCTACAGTCCCTGACAGAATGAGAACAGCACGGGCGTGCCTTTCGAACGCCCGGCCTCCAGCACCTACTCCGTGCCTTCCACCGTGCTTTGGCTGTGTGCGCGCGCTCGAGGTACGTGAGACGCCGAAGCGCCGTCGAAGGCAGGAAAGTCGCGTTCGAGGCGGCACGACCGAAGCTATTCCCAGTCGTTCTTGTCCCGTCAGTGAGCGTAGCGCTTCGTCTACCCCCTATAATAGCGAGTTCTAGTAGACCGTGTTTCCCGCTCCGCTAAGCCCCTCCGGTACCCGAAACTCTACAGCCAAGGCCATCGGCGCGCAGGCGCAGTAACGGTTTCTTCGTAGCGGAGGGCTAGCGGAGCGGGAAACACGGTCTACTAAAGCTCTCTAGTCATTAGGGAGTTTAATAGACCGTGTTTCCCGCTCCGCTAGCCCTCCACTACGAAGAAACCGCCACTGCGCCTGCGCGCCGATGGCCTTGGCTGTAGAGTTCCGGGTAGCGGAGGGGCTTAGCGGAGCGGGAAACACGGTCTACTAAAACTCGCTATTCAAACAGAGCTCGGCGCTCTGGCGACCGTGCACTCTCCTCCTCTCCTTCAGTTGCTCTCCGTATATGCTGAATCTGATTGCGAAGGCCGGACACCGAGCGTCCTCGAAGTTTCTGAACACACCGCAAGGGGGGTGTCTCGTTCGGGCAGCAGGCAGGGGCAGTGCTGCACGGGTACGCAGGTGTCTTTGTCGAAGTGGAACTCGTCCGGCTGGCAGTCGGTGGAGACGCAGCTGGGCACGCAGCCGCTCTCTTCGGACGCGCAGAAGCCCTCGGACTGGAGCTTGTGCAGGAACGGGCCGCAGGTGGCGTTGCAGCGGATGCCGCAGTCGGACCAGTGGCTTCCCGGAGGACATTCGTCTGCCACAAAAACAAGAGGATTCGGTTTACGCACGTTGTTACCTACACTGAATTCTAACCCAATAGCGAAAAGGATGAGCTTATTTTTCGGCGTAAATTTAGAGGAACCAGTTGCATTTAACCGCATTTAATAACCTAATGTATGCAAAAACTTACATGAAATTATTTGAACGTGTATTGGTTAAGAGTAGTGCAAGTAGTGCTTTGAAATCAAATAGCGCTGCGTCATTTATAGCATTCGCAATTCAAGGAGACGACACCTGCCCTCCAGAATAGTTCACGCTCGGAATGACGCTGCGCTATCTTGTTCGAACCACTGCCTCCCTAGTCTTCTTGCCTCCCGAAACATGGCGATATACCTTTTCTGACCATCTTTCTATTTCCGCCAATAAATGCGACACTTTGCAGTTTAGCGCTTAAAGGGCAACTCCGCTCAATTCCGAAGAGTTCGGGATAATGAGTGATTTCGAATTAAAAAGCCCTAGTAAAAGACACTACGTCTTTTGCTTCACGAAAAATGGGATATATATTTTTAAATCTAATTTTAAACACGAGCGGAAATCGAAACCGAAACTTCGGCTCCGTCCGGCAACATTGGCCTCGGACCGCCAAGTACATGGCCGTCACGTGGTACGAGAGGTCACGTGATCCTCGGCCCAACGACGGGCGGGATGGGGCGGGCGGGCGTGCGGCAGGCGCGAGTGTCGTCTGCACCGCACTCTTCGCCACGTCTTGGTGTCTACGGCATTCGACGACGTTTGCACAACTGCGGCATAAGTCTGGGACTCTGCGCACGTGGTGTCCATAGTGTGGACGAAACTCCGAGAGGCAATAATCACAAACGGTGAGACGACGACGGTGGTTGTGACGCGGAAGACGGCGGTAACGGCGGGACCACGGCGGGCGGTTGGTCTGCTCCCAAGAAGCGCGCTGCGCAGGCGCGTAGGTCAATCACGTGGGACACCGCTGAGCGCCGAGAGGCAACAGGGAGTTTTCGTAGACCGCGCTGCCCCCCTCCGCTAAGCATTCCGCAACGAAGAAGTTGCTACTGCGCCTGCGCGCCGATAGCCTTGACTGTGGAGTTCCCGCTATCGTAGCGGTTGCGGAGGGCCTTGCGGGACGACGAAAACGATCTACGAAAACTCCCTAACGTTGCTGACGTCACGCGCTACGCTCGATCGGAGAAGTAAAAACAAGCAAAAGGGGGCCATGTAGATGGCGTTTAGCTCAATGTTGGCTCCGCCCATGCCGTAGCCTTGACTGCGCTGTTGGTTGCGCCTGAATTCGCCCGCTCGAGTCAGCCGATTTCGGCAACTTGGTGAGTTACAAAGTTTGCCGGACCGTTTAAGAAACATTTAGACAGAACTGCGTCGTAATATTTGACGTGTGGTCTTCCTAGGCGATACTGAAGAGGACTGCATTGTTTTTTCAAAACCAAAAATGAAGCGGAGTTGCCCTTTAAAACACGAAGTTGTATTTTTTCGTAATATGCCGCAAAATGCGCTAACTGTAGACGTATAAACACTGTCATTATTTGTAAAAGTTTGCACGACATTTCCAGCAAACGCCATATTGAATATTCAAATACATGAATCATAAAAACATAATGCTTCGTTTCAGTCGCTGTAATAATACACCTAAGACTGAGAAAGTTATATAAATCAATCCACAAACCGGCGTTCATTCCGCTCCCCTACCTCCAGGGCTCCCCCGAGGTGCGCCGGCCTTCATTGACAAGGCCCGTGCCGGAGCCGCCTATACCGAGGGTACCCACACCAAATGAAGGAACCACACCCCGAAGAACGACCGACCACACGACCAAGACCGAACTAATGACGAAGGAAATTAGGCCCCCTCGTCACCCAAACCACCCGTGTCCTGCTCCACGTGAATCACAGGCGGCAGGCCGTCGATCCACTAGCTACTGTGGCAGTGTCTCAAAATGTCCGCGCCCAGCGACATTCACAGTCTGGAAGGGTGGATATCACCCCAGAACGCTTCCCACGTCAAGAGCGCTCTTTTCTTGCGCCACCGGCGTCCACCAGCGAATAGACTTTGTTTTTTTCCACTCCCTCGTTTTAATATTTAGGCTATGGAGACATCCGCTAAATAAAAAGATTCGAGCAAATAAATATATTGTAAGTTCGGCGATTGTTTGTCTACTTTCTTCGGTCGCGTCTGTTTCGCTCTCCGTTTGAAACAAACGTAGTGGTTACTTTGAATGCCTGCAGAGACTTCACCAAACAGAGGACGAATGTAGTGGCCGACTAATCTTCTGGCCAACATTCTACCAACTAACGTGCTCCTGGCTCGTTAATGAAGTCGATAGTAACGCCACTGTTCCTTCATTCTGTCAAGAGAAACGCACATTCGCATTTTGTAGTTTCACGGTAAAAGTATACCGAGTTGAACGAATAGTAGGCGCGCTTTCTCGTGCCGGCTTTTAGCAAAATACAACTTGTTTTAAATTTTCAGCAACTCCCTTACTGTTCCGGTTTATGAATACCTCCCATTGCAATTTAAGATTAGCTCATAAATTGTAATCGATATAAGTTTTTTTCAGAAAATAATTGATTATCGAGTCATAATGAAGGATTCGATTACTCTCTTATGTTAACCACCGGTTAATACGATCTTGAAACCAATTTGCCATTTCTTATTCCACTACACAATTTTCGTAGTGATTTTCGTTTTTAGTCTCGTTTCTTCGTTTCGAAGCTGTGTTGTGTAACAATTTTGTTACATGTTGTTCGAGACCATCGATTTTCTTTGTTGTACAATATAACCGAAGGCCGTCGTTTTCTGTATTGCAAAATGATGGCACAAAGCCTGTCTTATCAAAGAAGACGCTAGTTGTTTAGGTTACTGGGTGCCGAAAGCACATAACGGTGACTCATTGCATTCTGAGTTTTTATTGCTTATAATATCGGAAATTTGCACTGGACGTTTCTTGAAGTTTTCGCGTTCGCGCTGAAGCATTTTAAGAAAGTAAAGAGTTAAAGCCCTTTTTCTTCGAAGATTGCGTGCCGCACAAACACTGTAATCACTCCGTCCTTTGCCATGGTTGCTTCCGACTTAGACACCGGATGGACACGAAGCGAAAAAGGCAAACGTCCGCTGCCATTGTGAATCTTCCATGAGCTTCCTTCTCAAAACATTAACTTAATCTTAGAGCGAGGAACAAAAAGTCCCTGAAGTTGATTACCGTAGTTTCTGCTTATGCTGTTTCACCTCACGATCAATCGCAGCGGACGCTACGAGCCATCGGAGCCACTCAAAGGCCGCTTGAGTGTCACGTGACAGGCACAGCGAAGCGCGGGACGCGTAATCACGTGATTCGTTTAAACTACTGGATTGGCTGGGATGGCCAATAGATTCCTTTCGGAAATATGTGGCGCGCCGACCGTCTACTTGAAGTACTCTGAAGTTTGGATTTCCGGTACGTGAGATTATCCAGGAATAGAAGACGAAGTTGACGTTGGTTTAACTTTGTCCGCTTAAGAAACACAGAGACGGTAGAAGGAAAGCAAAACAAAGCATAGAATTACCTCTTTTTCTGATAACGTTTGTTATATGTACCTTCTGAGCTCCTGAAGATAAGAAGGAATGAATCGTACCACTTCCAGGATATACTAAGCGTTCGAATCGGCACGAGCGTTCATTGGAACATCCCCCGAATCGCGAGGTCTCCAGAGATTTTCCAGAAAAGTTTCTTCGTCGTAAAATCCGTCGGTATGGTACGCACTTCTCTTTTCCTCCTCCGGGCAGCGGCAAAATACGCGCATCTCGTAGTCGGAGCACAGTTCCCGGTCGTCCTGGTCCTCCCTGAGGCAGCGCAGTCCCGTGTGCGGGGAGCAGAGCACGGACTCTCCGGTCTCGTTCCAGGGGGTCTTGCTGCCCACCGTGCGGCACTCTACCGCCACCATGTGCTCCACAGGGCAGTGATCGCCGTGCGCCTGGAGGCTCTCAAAGTCATTGCCAGCCTAAAGAAGTAAGCAAAAATTAGGGCCCTGTTTGTACGAGATCTTGGAGTAATAGTTGTCAGGTGATCAATGGGTAGAAACAGTCTTAGCACAGAACGTCCTTAAGGGCTAGGATTCGCGAAAAAACTGTGACATGTCGTTACAAAAAAAAAATGGTGTAACAAAGATTTCAGAAGTAAGGCAATACAGTGAGAAGAAAGACAGAGTTTTCGATGATAATCAAACCAACCTTACGCTCTATAACTATGTGCAGAGGATGGATGAAAACCAAAAGAACTTTGCTGCGCGTGGGGGGTGGGGGGGGGGGGGGGGGGGGGGGGGGGGGAACGTGTGGGTAAGAGTTTGGCTATATCCTATGATCATACCATGTGATTGTACTTGGTAAATGGTTACGGCAGTGATGACGTGATGAAAAAAAAACGAATTTGTATGATTATGAATGCATATTCCTGATCTACCTGGATGATATTAGTAAATTCGGAGCAACACATTCTGTGAATGCTGAAATTATTGGTGCTCCTTCATTCATGGCTCGTTCGTTCATTGCATACCTTAGTATTTTATCAAAACTGTTCAGATGTCCCTATTAACTAGCTCCACGAGTTTCCCCCGTTTCGCCAGCTTAACGACCGTAATTTCGAACTCCATAGCCTGTTATGCGTCTGTACTTCATTAAACCACCTTTTTTTTAAACACCAGTTTCCAAAAGTAAATTATTCGAATTTCGTGACAGCAAATACCACGACAAATATTGTATTTTTAATATGCAAATACCCCTCAAAATGCGAAGAATATTTAAGTTCATGGTGATACAACGGATGATGTAACTGAGACAATTCTAATATTGATAATTCGGAAAAACTTTTGTATAATACAAGACCTTCTTCACCATATCATTGTGTTACAGCTCTTGTGGAGAATTCATACATCTAATTTAAAAGTTGCCGGTTACAAAACCTGCTCCAGTAAATCCTATTGTAAGACTATCTTACTTTGTCTGCCAAGTGTCGCTATTCCCTTCGCCTTCGAGAAATCTTCCGAGCGCCTCTTGTACGACATGGCAAATCAGCTTTATTTGCGCAGAAAAAGAAACAAAAATTGCCTTAAAGCATAGCGGCTCAGCCACACCAAAAGAAAAAGGTTGTTTCCTCAGGACTGGAAGATTTAGGTTTGGTGCTCCTTCTGCCGCTTTTCATTTAAGAAGGCGTCGCTAGATTGTGTGCCATCTACATGAGATGGCAAACAACCAAAAATTAAGGTCCCATTGCATTTTTCGAATGCCCCTAGAGAGTGGTTTCATAAGGTGACGCTTTCGGGGAAGTCCCTGGAGATTCAGGCAACCTCTCTAACTCGAATATTGCGTGGAGACTAATAATATTTCCTGTCCAATAGAAACTAGAAAATCGATACGACAACACAACCTTCTGACGTCACGCCATTGTGGTGGCGCTGTTGTGGGCACTGCGCATGCGCGGAAACGTTGTCTCACGTGCGTGTGACTTGTGCACACGAGCAGTGCCACACCCTGGTATGGGAAAACGCGGCCTTTTGTTTCCAAACAGCGTGTATATTTTCTGCCTATACGTTTCCTTTCAATTATTATTTTATCGTCGCCGCAGTAGCGGAGAATGGGAAGGAATGGGACTCTGTTCACACTATATTTTGTGTAGAATAATGTGTCCATAGAAACAAGTTTAACGGTCCTACATGTAGCGTAAAAACCCTTCACATCAACTAAACAGAACTTTGTTCCTACCTCTTCCAGAAATGTAAGAAAAAAATTTCGAGTATAAAAATGTGTACCATTCCACCAGTCCCTCAGCGAGGAATGGGACAGATTTAATATGCGCTAGAAATAGTACTAGTGAATATTATAGGCAGACGGGCCTTCATCAGACATGAAGCTCGATCGCGGTCGCCTTTTTCTCTCCGATTGTCTGTGGTTTCAGACCGGGGATTAAGGGAGCGGTAACATTTTACACAAAACAAATATTTGACGACCTAAATGCAATCTGAAGTAAAATTATATAGTTCACCAATATTATTGGTCCACCTTAATGTCGAATTGCCAGTGAGAGCACCAACTTTTATAAAGTTGAGACGCTGTTTCATTCCTACCATCATCTCAGCGTACCATTCTCCCCAAACTGCTTTGCACACTGCAAGCTGCAAATTGTGGCAACAAGCGAGATGTCAAGCGTAAAATAACGGTCGTCAAACGCAACCTCTGAACGCATCTTCTTAATGTTAGTTTACAACAGCTGTTGGCCAAACCGCTTGCTTCAAGAAGAAAGCAAACCAAATGTGCGCTACTTATTTTTGATTGTCGAAGTGGCAAACAATGTCTCAATTCCTGTACACCACGCCAAGCTGATAGGAAATTACAGAGGAAAGTACCGCTACCACGGCGCCATCAATCGGGCAGTTCATCAACGTTTCGTAACTATTAACTGAAGAAATATGTTGAATATCCCGCACCTCCCACCGTCCCATTGCTCCCCACTCACTCCTATAGACAGACGGCATAAAATAGACCATAATTATCGCGACGGCTACTATAGGCCTTTCCATCGCTTATCGCCCAAGCGAAAAATGCTGAGTTATTGGGATGTGCAGGCTTGCGCAGCGTCTTGTATTTCCTGGGTGAGAGCTACTGCGCACGCTCAAAAAGCCTTCTACAACCCAGTAGGCCAAGATTGCTACGCTCAGAAGGCGATGGTCTATTGTGATTACTTAATTATGTCATGAGAAGAAGTAAGGCAAAACCTGGCCTACCGTGGACCAAATATTGTCGGTGACTGCAGCTAAATATTGCCTCGTTTCACTTCGCAAATGTACTTTTTTATGACTAAGAGTATAAAGGGTTTATGGCTGACCCGCGTAAACGAGTGAGACTACTTTGACGGCTGTGTGAATTTTGTGATGTCCAGAGTTTGTGTAAAAGCACGAACGTGTAAAAGCGTGTTTCTTTATGCGCGATGGCACCAAAACAACCGAACATTTATGAGTTCAAACACGCACCTTTAAGTGGAGGTCGGAATACGCTTCGCTGGAATTCGCAGAAATATTTCGTATCTTTTGCACGTAATAACCACAACCAAAAAAAAAAAGAGTAGTGTGCAGGCGAACAGTGAGAAGTAGGACGTTACGTGAATTAACAATATCAGCAGTAACTGGAAATTCAGCTTCTTAACGTTATAAGTCAATACAACAAAAAAAAAAAAAAAGAGGCGACAGCTAACGTCTCAAATACCTGATACTCCGGCGAATTCATGCTCTCCCAGTCCGACCAGCCGGTCTGAACGCAGACTTGGACCTCGATCGGGCAGGGCTTGCCAACACATCGCACTTCGCCGCGGAGGCAGAAACTGAAACAGATGCCACCGGGCAGAGATATAGGCACCCGGAAAATTCTGAACAAAACACAAAGACCAGCTAAGAAAAAAAGAATTCGTGTTTTAAGGTTTGCACTACGTTTGAACATTCAGGTTCCTGTGTATACTTTAGCACCGACATTAGTGTTCTCGCGTTGGAACAGTTAAAATCCTGAACAAGTCTCGCCTTGTGACGTCGACAGCCCTTAAAGACTAAGCATGCTTGTGCTTTAGCAAGTACAAGGAGTAAGAAATATTCAGGTATGAAACGATGTAAGCGAGTAGCGGGACCATAGGCGAAATATACACCTTTTCGTTTCAGTAGTTGCCTGACCGGCGGGTAGAGGGCGCTGGCGCACTCGGCGCCATTAGGTTGCTTCAATTTGGTCGGTTTCGGTTTCAACGTACACGCGATTGTGATGCTGCTTCATGCCATTTCCGATTAATTTTGCGATATGAATTTTTTTTCTAGCAGCACACAGCGAATGAAACAATAGTATTGAGCGACTTGGCAAACCACGAAGTGGTTTCGAGCCTAAATTGCGATCTTTTTTTACTAACACTATATGCGTCTGATTCCGCCCATCATTAATTTCGGCCAGGTTCGGCCGTGAAACAACTGCGCTGATGCACAGGGAAAAGTAGCATTCTCCACGGCCGTAACCGCGAACACTAATTTCAAGAAAAAAAAAATAAATAAATAAAGAGCAGGACAAGCTCCGCCTGCAGCGTGCGCTCGTTGCCTGCCGCCGTGCTTTGGCTGTGCGTGCACCGAGTGGTACGGAAGGTAGATAGCTCGCGCTCAAGTCAGATATTGAACTGATCATCTTATAATGCAAAAGACTATATTGCATGAGTGCTTAGTGAAAATCAGGTCGACAACATGATTAACAATCTGCTGATTCACCAAGAACAGATGAACTGACAAGTTTACTGTTCGATGTTTGGTTTCCGTACACCAACCTTTTCTAACTTCGAGACTGGAAACGTCTTTTATAATGACTAGAAAACTTTAATATAATCACGTAGATAATATAAAAAAGTGATATTGTCTCGGCCTGTTTTATTTAAAGAAATTAAGCGCTCAAGAAATATTTTGATAGACCAGCCTAGGCTGACTAGAAAATTTCTTTACCTAAAGTACTCATTTACAGCATTTCAAAATATTGGCCTTATGAAATAAACTTTTTGTTATATGGACATCTGCTTACGACGTTCTCAAGGTATGAGAATGGCAAGATAAGTGAATGCCAGACTTCAAATAAAGTCTGATATCCATCTTCCGTAAAATTTGCCGAATGAAATTGAAGAGCGCAAAAGAAATGATCTCCGATAAGTTTGGCTCAAGTTGAACGCCAGGCGCCACCCAATGGACCTTTGTAGAAAGCTGTTCACTGATTTGAAACGATGCGCTATGCACATTTTGACGTCGCCAGCTACTGAAAGTAACTCCCTATTCGAAGTCGACAACCGGCTGCACTCAGGTGATTTTCATGCAGGATTCTTTTCGGCGTCACATTTTATGAATCATAGGCACTGTCAAGCTGTCTGTGGCAGTTTCTTACGCGGGGAGTTCAAATATTTGTGTTGAAATAAATTAATTGAAACTGCATGGTCATATTAAAAAATGACTTAAGCAACTGAAAGACTATGGACATGGGACCAAGCAAGATATACAATTCCGTGGAATTCATAAATAAACCGATAAAGCGAATGCTTATATCACACACGCGATTAAGAACGTAAAACAGATATAGGTGTGATATTGCGAGCAAACAAATTGCCTAATGTTACGGTATCATTATTTCTAGCATAAAAAAAAATTCAAAGTAAATGTTTGTTCCCGCTCCTTGTCCACTAGTTCCCTAGTGTGATCAAAATAAACTGTTTTCAATCTGTTGGAACTACAAAACACCATGTTTTTAGAGAAAACACGTGGCTAAGTACGCTGAGTGTTTTTGTTTTCTTCCTTGACACCAATGCGCACTCATATATATAATAACATTGGGCTTCCTATTTCAAACGTTCCGCCCTTATTAGTAGCCAAACCTCAGTTCTCATAAGATATTGGTATTTGAACCCTCGAGGCTCTCTTCAAGTCATATATGTATTCAATGTGCGCAAGTGCTAACGCTGATTCCTGTTCCTATAAAACCTTTTCACACGTACCCCGCACGCCGACGGTAGTGTTACGAAATCAACTACAGAAGTTGCGCGCATAATGATGTAATGCAATTAATTACATGGTAAGTATGAGTATCGGACGACACTTTACGGAGTAAGGCAAGAGACGCGGTGAAACGCGACGAAAAACACGACGACACTTTACGGAGTAAGGCAAGAGACGCGGTGAAACGCGACGAAAAACACGAATTTAACGCGTCCGCCAAGGCGCGGGCGGGAGAGCGGAGCAACAAGTTGAAGCAACCTAATGGCGGCCGCATCACGTGATTCCAATATGGCAGCGCCCATGCGACGGAGGGTGAAAAGGTCTATAGCTTGAAAAGGTAGGACGATACAATCTAATAATTGCTCCGTTGCAGTTTATTTTTTTTATCGTGATATGTTGATCGCCAATATCAAGATAACTTTAATACCTGTCAAAAGCGGATATGCTTTTTTTGTGCATTTATTAATTTATTAAAATACCTGCATCACCAAGAGGGCCATATTGTAGGGGGGTAACACGAAGCGAATGCACATTAAACACAAATATGAACCATAAACATTTGAGAAAAAAAAAGTTTCTAAGAGTACATCTAACACGTGTCTTGTAGGATGGAAAAGAACACGGTTGAAAAATTCATAATCAAGACGATTCGATGCGCAAAAGGCAAAAGCAAAAAAAAAAAAAAAAGAGAGAGATGAAGAACCTTTCTTCGTTTCGCAAAACCGTTCTACTCTCGCACTTTTTTTTTTTTTTCATGATGGCTTTGTCGCGAAATAAAATATGGGTTCTTTATATACATATTTTATTAATGCCAATTTTATCGTTATAAATCGAATCTAAAATTTCATATTTCCTCCCTTGAGAAAGGAGTTTTCGTCCGAAATAATTCTTCATGTCAGAAATGCTGCAAGTAAAATTGTAATTACCACGAACGAAACAAGCTGCACGTTTTCTGATGCGTTCTAAGATGTATATTCGATTCTGCATATAAGGGTCCCATGCCATGCACGCATGTTTCAGAATTGGCCTCACATTGGTGACCTACAGCGCTTCATTCAGAGCCGCGCGAGCGGTTTTGAAATTAATCTTGGTAAGCATTAATCTAGGTGAGCAGAGAAACAAACAGTGATAGACAGCACGTTTGAACACACGTAGGAAAGCGGTTAAAAGAGACTGGTATATTATCTGAGCACAGTGATACATCGCAGCTGGTATTCTTCAAATAGATCGTAGTATTTCCACAGAAATATTTCATACATTTTAAAAATAAACCTGTCACAGTAACCGCAAGGTACTGATTTGTTCGCAGAGGAGGCAGTCTAGCTTGCGGACGCCTAACATAATGTATTGAAGATTGATATGCGAAGTGCGCGCGAAGTCACAGGGGCGCTGCTGTCCTATCTTTCTTTCTTGAATTTTTTTTAATTACGAAGAACATTTGTTGATTTAGAGAAGAAGGCTGACATACAACAACCTATGCGATGAAATTCTTGAATGCGCAAGTAATTTGAGCTGACAACGATTACAAATAAATTGGCATTTATTATTGGCATTTATTAGTGCTGGTCGTGGGTTAAAAATGCTAACCCTTTTCATCGCAAGGGTCCAGGTTAGGGGCAAAATCTCGCAAAGATAGACGAGTAGTGCAAAGTACCGCAATCAATGTACGTTTTTTTTTTTGTTTTTTTTTTAGTGCTGTGTCATTTGATGGCTCAAAAAGCGGTTTGACTTTCTAAAAACTAATGCCGGTAATGATACTGATCTCATCTGGCACCGTCACTTTCGCATGTCAATGGCTGATGAAAATTGGTTCTTCGTTCAATTAATAATCCTGCTTTGATTTTCTTGAGTTTCGATGGTGTGAATATAAGAGCTGACCATCATAAAGATGCGGCCTATAACTTTCTCAGTGCAGTGTCCACCATCAAAAGACATTAATTAGAGCCAAACTTGTGCCAAGGGATTGATTGAACCGCAATCCAAAATAAGCGCTTCCGCAGCCTTTGTGTCCAATTCGTGCATCACATTGTACCGGCGTCTCGACCGTACAGACTTCATATATCCTCCACTTGGTCAACGTTCTTAGATCCATGAGGTGACAAGCTCCACGAAAGAAGCTTGATAATGTCGATGCTTGGGCAAGTTGGTAATTAATACTTTTGATGGAACAGCGCGGATGAACATTCACACTCGGATGCACACAAAAGGAGACAGACTCGCAGCGCTGACTATACAACTCAGTCCTATATTTCTTCTTCCTCAAATCTTCAACTTCTTCACCTTTGCCGTTAATGAGAACAATTTAAATTGTTTACAAATCAGAGACCAAATAGCCAATAAACATTAATAAATAACTAATAATTAAATAAAAGACAACTAAACATACTATTAAAAATACTATTAAAATTAAATTAAAAATTAAGCGAAAAATTTTCACTTCACTATTGGTGCTTTGATGACATCTGTAGATAATCCAATTCTTTCTTTGACAAAGCTAAGGATGATACACTTTGTCAAAGAAAGAATTGGATGAGAACAATGAGAACAATTTTAATTGTTCTCATTGAATTGGATGAGAACAATGAGAACAATTTTAATTGTTCTCATTAACGGCAAAGGTGTAGAAGTTGAAGATTTGAGGAAGAAGAAATATAGGACTGAGTTGTAAGTCAGCGCTGCGAGTCTGCCTCCTTTTGTGTGCATGTGAGTGTGACTGTTCATCCGCGCTGTTCCATCAAAATCCACGAAAGAGCGGAGTTCAAAATCGGTTCTTCACTGTTGCCTGCACGCGAGCAGGAGCGGGCCAATAGCGTTTTAGCGCCACCGGCGTCAACGCCTCTTTGGGCAACGAACAAAAATTATTTTCGAACCGACTTTTGCACAAACTTTATGTAAGCCATAAAAACTCCAATCGAATTTCTCTCCACCGTAGGTAATCTGAATCTAACGTTCCACCGATTCCGCAGCTTTTCTCCACTGGGAGGGTTGATGGTGCAGCGAGCACCACGAAAAGGCGTCAGACGTTCTAGAAAGCTTGTCAACTGACTTTGATCTAGTAACGTTAAGTTTGGTAGCATTTTAAACTTCTCCCTTCATCAGCTTCAAGAATGTCTCCATTAGTTTTGCACAGATGCTATGCACACAGATGATGAGTACCTACTCAAAGTTCCCAGACTAGGACGGCCCAACGTACCAGGACTGACAGGCGTTGGACGTGGCCACCCGTTGTCCCTCTTTGAAGTGGAGGCCACCGATGCTGCATGCGGTCTCCGGCGGGACTCCGCAGTCCTGGACCGGCACGCAGGTGCGGTCGGTGGCGGTGCGGTGCACCATGCCGTTGGGACAGAGCGCCGGGGTGCAGCCCTCGAGGCACAGGGGCGGGGACACCTTGCAGGCGTCGTGGACCACCGGGTGCTCGCAGGTTGGGGGCTTGCAGAAGCTCACGCAGGCCGAGTACTCGTCGCACGTGTCGCATTGCAACGCTGCAGGAGCGGACAAGACACGTGGAGTCATGGATAAGATGACAACGGCGTCTCTTCCAGACGCCCGGACTCCGCCACGCGATCGCAATTGCTTTCGGACGTGCTTTGGTTGCGCGTGCACTCTCAAAGCTCACGAGCCGCTGAAGCGTCATCGAAGGTGGGTGGCTGACACTGCCGTGCTTTCCCACCAGTGGCAATACGAGGATATTGCAAATGAGCGCCCTGGAAATCTCAGTACCCTATTTAGAGTAGCTGTTTTCCAGTTGGCGGCAGACACTTTCTTTCTTCGGAACATACCATGTGAAACGTTGGCCACCGCTATAAGGCTGCTAGGAGTCTTCCAGCCAAGAAAGCTCCACTCTTCGCTGAAACAGACAAACCTTTAAAAAAATAGGGTTCAAAATAAACATTTCTGAACTGTGTTTTTTTTTTTTTTTTTTTAGCCGCTTTTATACTTGGAGTAAAAAAACATGAGAAAATTAGCAGCCTTTAAGCGATTTCTAAACTGCAGCTACCGCAAAATTAGCCAGCTGCCTCTTTTATTTCGCTTCTCGGTCCAGTTGCGTCGTGGCATTTCCGTAACTTGTTTTGTCTGTAAACGCCTTGAACGCATTATTAATAAACACATATTTGTTTTTAATTTCTCGATACACATAACGTACTTTAAAGCAGCCAGCATGGCTTCAGACGAGGATTGTCCACAACGACTCGATTGCTTGAGACAGTTCATGACTTTACCTCTGCCCTGAACAAGAAAAAGTCAGATCAATGTCATTTTTATCGAATTCGTGAAAGCTTTCGATAAGGTATCGCTTGCAAAGCTCTTAGAAAATTGAATAGCTACTCAAAAAATAATCAAGTGATTGGTTGGATACAAGCTTACCTAAAAACCGCTACCAATCTGTAGAATGTAATAATGAGGGTTCTTTCCTACTTTCAGTGGACTCTGGTGTCCACCAAGGATCGGTATTTGCGCCTTTGTTCTTGTTATTTATGAACGATATTCCCGATGAGATTTCCGTCAAAATACGTCTTTATGCCGACGATTGTGTGATGCATAACGAGGTCAAGTGTACTGATGATCAAATTAATTTTAACGATGATTTGAACAAGATTCTGAAAGGATGTGACACATGGCAAATGAGTATAAATTATGACGAAAGTCACTAATAAAAAGAAGCCACTTTCATTCTCCTATCATATGAACGAACATATCCTAAGAGAAGTTACCGGATTCAAAAATCTGGGTTTCTGGATCAGTTTCGATCTTAGATGGGATAAACAGATCAATTTAATTTCCTCTAACGCCCTCCGTAGATTATCTTTTTCTCAGACAAACACTAAAATCAGCCACTTCAGATACTCGACTCCTGGCGTACAAGAATCTTATCCGACCGACCCTAGAATATGCAAACATTATTTGGACTTATTTACACAGGTAGAAATTAATGGGATACAACAAATACAAAATAAAGCTGTCAGAATCATTTTTAACACCTATAAGAAGGCGTCTATTTCTGGGCTTAGCAAACAGCTTGAGTTTGTCCCGGTTCTAGAACGAAACCGTGTATGCAGACTTCGTTTTTTTTTTATGTCAGTTAATTAAGGGGCAGTATAAAATTAACGTTGACGAATATATCACTTTCTCCACTGGTTACGCCACCCGAGGAAGAACCCCACTTATTATTGCACCTTACCAAACCACGCATCAACAGTTTCAAATTCTTCTTTTTTCCTCGAATGATTGTAGAACGGAATGGGCTTCCTTACGAAATTATTCACCAAGACTCTGTAAGTGCATTTGTTTCCGCTTTGTGTTCTGAATGAGTAACGTTTTGATACTTTATCGCTTCGATTTATGTTACTTTCCACCCTGCTATACGATCCCTGATAGGGAGCAGCAGTATTTGTAAATAAATAAAATAAATAAATAAATAAAGGCCACTCCACCGCGTCACCTGTCGACGCGCCTCTCAATGCAGCTGCGTTTCCCGCGACACCTATAATACCTTGGTGACATCTTCAATGAGAGAAATGCGTGCTTTCTAACTATTATTTTGCTGTCCGAGAAAGTGCTGTGACTGTTTAAACATGTATAGTATTAAACCTCTTCATCAAAATGTCGCAAAAACCTAAATTTTGAATCATCCTAGGCTTCTTCGTATAGAAACTTAAAAGTCGCATCCGGCGGAAAATGAGCGAACCGTGCGCATTTGCCGAAAACGCATCAACATTGGGTGGGGAACTGGGGGTAACCTAAAACAGCAGTATAGAATAACCGCAGACAACCTTTTAAATTTGAAAAGAAACCCGACACGATCCTTCTCACAGTTTGATTGCCGCACCTTCGGTATTCTGACCACCGAACTGGAAAATCAAAGTGAGCGATCCAAAAACTCTATGCCGTAAGAAAGTTCTCTTCGGAAACCCAGACCGATCGATCATTTAGAATTCATTCGAGCTCCCAGAGCCGACCAGGGGGGCTATGTTGCGCTTTTTGCACTCCCAGGAGACTAGGGAGAGGGAAGTGACGTCAACGACACAGCAAACGCAGATTGGGTGTTGATTTCGTTTTCTTCTGTCAACATCCAATCTGCATTTGCTGTGTCGTTGACGTCACTTCCCTCTTCCAAGTCTCCTGGGAGTGCAAAAAGCGCAACATAGCCCTCCTGGTTGCGCCATCGATCAAACTGTGGGCCTCAATATTTCAATGGGAGAAGTGAAGGCGTCGATCGAAATGCATAACTTACGGCAGAGTTCTTGAGAGCGCCAGAGAACGCGGACCCCTCGAGATGCGCACTGGTGAGCGTACGCTCCGATGGCGGTGCACAGGCACTCGCAGTCTCCCCCAGTGTCGCAGGCACACGTGTCCGAGACGCACCTGTCCATTGGGAGGGAAGACCCGTTAGAGACACTGCTCAAGAAATACAAGGTGTAGCCAATAATGTTCACACTTCTCGCTTCGTAATTTGCTTTCCTGAGTTCGTATCGGTTAATTCCGCAATCCTATTGGCTGCAGATCGAGGCTAAGATGTTTTGTCCCATTCTGCGTTTTTTTTTAAGATGCCACTGACTATTGTTAATAACAACGTCGAAAAGGTAATCACGAAGCAAGAAAAACGAAGATTACAAGCCACGCAATGTTTCTCTTAAAGCTGTCAGTCACTTTAGTAGATTTCCACGTAAAGAGAAGGTCACGTACAACCGTGATGGTCTCCTCTAGCGTAATCAGCAATCTCCTGTACGTCTTGTATTGTTGGATAGACAAGCAGATGACACTAGATATATCACAGCCAAAAAAGAAAATCCCAAGTGAAGCCGGAGGCAGAGGTCGGTGGGAACCTCCCCAGGGTTGCCCAAGTCCGCCCAATAGCGTCTTTTGGAACCGGAAGCCTCCCCCGGCTTCGCCTCTGCTGGCGTCATGTCGCCTCCAAAAATTTCCAACCTCTATGAGATATACGCTCCGTTTCAGCTGAACGCTATCCATAGCCGAAGCCACGGTCCAATGTATCCAATACTGAAGCAACGTCAAAAGTGCTTCGTCACGACGCTCGTCAGCCTTTGTGGGTTTGGGATATCTCCCCGACTATAAGCCAGTCACGCAGAATGAGTGTGCCGAGATGCCGCGCTTCTGCCGGCGCGTGACTGCTGATAGCGAACCCTCAAATACAACGAGCGCAGTGGCTATGCACTTTCGTCGCCATTTGATGAGTATCGTCGGATGGTAGCGTTCGCTGCGCTCGGACTTGAAATGAAAGAGAGAAGAGTGCAGCGGAATTTTACGACATTCTAGGCGTTCTCTGACTACCTTTACTACTGTGGAATCTCGTTAATTTGAACCCGAGGGGGACCAAAACGTTGTTTGAATTATGCAAAGTTTGAATTACCTGGGGCCCTAAACTCGTCAAACACAAAGTGGGAGCCGAAAGTTGGAGGAACGCGTCGATTCGACGTCGGCGAAAAAAGCGCCAAGTCATCGTCGTGATAGGCCAATCGGTGCGCTCTGCAAACTTTGGCCCCAACTTTGTGTTTGACGAGTTTAGCCGGCCCTGGATTTTCTTTCCTAGAAACACAGAAGACGGGACCTGCTTGCTAGTTCGAATTATCCGCGAGTTTGAATTAGCGAGATTCCACTGCATATGTACCGATGAAGCGGGATTTGATACATGACAGATGATATTTCCTAGTCGGCCGCACTCATAAGTCGGACACCTCAAGCACTCAAGCAGAGTCTCACTGCTGTGGGAGGGGGACGTCATGCCTCTGCGGTGGCGCTGCTATCGACACTGGGCGTGCGCAGAGCAGACGCTTTGCCTTACGGGAACTTGGTTTCTGCGCCCGAGTACGGACCACACCTGGTTTGGCCGAAAGTGAGCTTGTGTACAGACAGCGCGTTCGAATTTCACCATACGCAAGCCCCTACTTAAAAACGAGCGACTTAAAGAGAATCGCAATATTGAGTCTAAGACACGGGGGTAGAGGCTGAGAACGCTGGACAAGGTCTATAGGAAAAACGACTTTGATAAAATTATGAATAAAACTATAAGCAGCATCAATTTGCGCATACGCTGAGATATGGTCAGTTGAACGCGTTATGCAACACATGGTTCGACACCTCTAAATAACAGACCCTAATGTCTGATTTCCCTCTGTCACCTATCGGAGGCGAGCGCGGGGCAGAGATTGGACACGAGTGCTACGTCAGCGTTCGGCTTAGACTCGTGTCCAATCAGTGAGAAGACGAGTCCCCCCGAACGATGACGCGGCACTCGTGCCAAATCTCTGCCCCGCGATAGCCTCCGGTAGGTGACCTAGCGAGTGCAGCACTAGGGCCTTTTCATCTATAGTCACTGGCAGCTTAAAGGAACTTTAAAAAGAGGAAAAAAGTTTTGTTTTAATATTGTCTTATATAGGACACTTTTTTTTTTTACTTTTCCAGGTAAGAAGAATGGTTTTTCTCGAAATATTTACGCTGCGTAGGTGAAGTTCCAGGTGGCCCCGCCCATTGCTACTGGATTGACTTGGCTGCTCGACCGAACACGCCCGCAAGCCTAGTCGCGACGTCCGATATGCGTCCGGCGCGTCTAGTCTGGCGTCTGACACAGCATACTACAGTCGTACGAGCAGACGCGCGGCAGCCCCTGGCATCGTCTGCTATTCTACCACCTTCTATCGTCGTCTGCAACGCCCGTAAGGCGCGGTCATGAGAGCGGGGCGTGGGCGTCCGTTACCCCCTTCTTCCGTCTGCTACTCCGCGCCCGTCTAAAAACGTCTGCAACGCACGCAAGACACGACCATGAAAGTGGCGTTCTAGCGTTTTACCATCCACGAGCCTTGGTCCGATACAAGCGTCTGTCGATGCGCGGTAAAAAGCGACCGAGAGGACTAAACAATTAACCACATAAATATGCAGTTCTTTGAGTTTTTCTGTTTCTGGTATTTTCTTTTTCGTGTGACCTCCGCGAGCAAAATGGGTGAGTGTCATAACACACGAAAAACCTTAACTTAATTTATCCAATCATCAAAGAGAATGTCGGGAACGCAGGTACACACGCTGCACGTGCTCGCCTTCCCTTTTCCGAGATCAAGTCGTCCACTTCTTAAACAAGAGTTGCGATCACGTCAAAACGACGCCGAAGTCTGACTGGCTTTGATTGAAAGGATAGTGCGTAGACTTCGATGCTAAATGCCTTAAAGTCTGCCCACCATTTTTTTTTTTTTTTTTTTTTGAAGAGCCCAAAAGAGGTCGGCGTTCGAATATCATCGCATGTCCTGCTCAAGAAGCAGACAAGCTTGCGCTCCGCATAGAAAAGATTCGAAAGAAAGTATCAAAATGAAACGATCGCGGAACGCGCGTGCGAAGTGCCATTCTTTTAAAATTTTGCTTTTGAACAGTAAGAACTAAAGACACCAGCACCCGCAGCGCGCGTAGCTACGTTCCCGGCATTCCTTTTGAACCTTGGTTAATTCGCCAAAAGGTCTATTAAACCGCTACCTATAAAGAATCACTTTGGCAGAACAGGTGCACTGCGATACTTGGAAGCTACCAGCCTTTCGAAGCGAAATGGCGGGAACATACCTGAACAAACTTGATGCGAGCCGAACGCCCGATTGCCTCCAGCCAAATGGCTCCCAAATTCTTATTTCTGTAGGTATCTCCTCGGTATGAAAATCATTGTCGAATTCACGATGGGTCAACCATTTCGTCGTTTACCCTGAGACTGGGGGCGAAATGGTTGACTTCCACCAGCTAGCCTGTACTTTGACTCTTTTCACGATGGGTGTTCGATTCTCAGAGCAGCCGAGGCCCCTTTTACGGGAATCCACAACTTTATTCACCATCAACACGGGCAAACGAACCAATCAAGCCAGAGCAAGCAACATTGTTGACGTAGCACCCTAGGCTTAGGCTAGTCCCTCTGCGAAAACAAGCACCCGCGCAGCGCTTCCCAACGCGCGTACTTGCGACAGTCGTTCGCGGCAAACTGGGTCGGTTGAAGCGATCCGCCTCCAGGCACCTCAGTAAACGCTTGACCACACGCACTTAATAAAACAAACAAGCTCCACGAGCCGTGCTCGCTGAGCACGCCGCAATCGCCGGCATCAATGTTTGCTGTGGGTCGAAAGCGGATCGGCAGAGGCAATCTCGGGATATTTCTTAAAACAATATTGAATCTATCCAGATTACTTGTTTCTCAACCGTGTAAATACGTCACGGAGAAACAATTTTACAGCCAACATTTCACACGTCAATCATCTCTCCGGTCAATTAGGGCCGAAAAACGGTGCTCAGCTAACAAAGCATCTTTCGAGGTAGGTGGCGCCTAGAGCAAAACTACCTCCCCCCCCCCCCCCCAATCCCCCGCAAATGTCTGTCACTGCGTAAATATTGCTAATAAAATTCTTTGTGTGTGAGGAAATTTAGAAAATATGTCCCATCTAAGCATTTTAATTTTATTTTTATTTTTAGAGCGGAGCGGTGCACGAAACTGGGTTTCCCCAGTTTCGTGTCCGTGGACAAATAAATCTCGACACAACCCCCTGGACAGTTACCGCCATCTATGAGCGACGGCGGCAACTAGACAACCAGCTTGCCGGTTGTCTAGTTGCCGCCGTCGCTCATAGATGGCGCCACTAAGTACAGCTCCGCTACTCTTCCTTCTTCACCAGAGAGGAAAGACTGAACTTTTTCATTGTTTCTTTAAGAAGCGCAGTGCATTTCTTTTGGAGAGCGAAACACCTGCGCATTCTCCTTCCCGCAGCCAGCGCCACCTCTGTGCAGTGCTGTCAGAGATATGAGTTGTTCTACGGGAGATGTGACTCGGACTCACCGGTCGTAGAAGGGCTGGACGTCCACCTCGCTGTGGCACGGCCGAAACAGGTCCTCCCTGAGGATCTGGCACTGGGACGCTGCCCACTTCTTGCGGTCCGGCTGTGCCAGGCATCCGTCTTGCTGGGCCACGGCCGGGGCGCAGTGCGGGTGCAGCTTCCACGAGTTGACGAACTCGATGGCGTCCGGAAGCGTCGGCCCACCGGAAGGCGCTCGGAAGTCGTCCGTCCCGTCGCCGTTGAAGTTGCCGCATAAACCTTGCAGCTGCGTCGGAAAGACAAGGAATTAGACATCGCGTCGAGGATCTGAAATACAATGAATGAGTCTCTCGGCTATGAGAAACTGCCACGAACCACAAACAACAAACGAACTTGATACGAAGGAATTTGATGTTCTGGTGTACGAGGTTACTTGGTTTTAGAAAAAATTCGTTTAACGTGAAATATATGTGCTACCTTATTGTTAATGGGTTCAATGAGCAACAGTTTGACCAAATGCGCAATACCATACTGATACTATGAATCACAGAGGAACAGACAAGGACCTGAAGTAGACAGGAAGGCTCTTGACCTGTGTATTTTATGACCTTGTCTGTCACTTTGTTCTTTATGTCGAACCAACGAGCAATCCCTAATATTTTAGTGCATAATACCGTGTTGTTTGTTTTTAATTTGCAATTTGTTTTGTGGCCCAACCTCAAAAGATGAGAAGATGGTTTTTCCGGGGTTTCAGTCCGAGCTGCCATTTTCGTTTTTGACGAAATGAAACCAGAAAATCACTTCATATCCGTAGAACCATCGCTTAGAAGCATGGCGCTACATGTGCAGCTATATTATGCCAGCCACCCTTCGTTCTTGACTTACACAGCCGTAAATGTAATCACCAGAAGACACCTTTTTATTTCGAAAAAAAAAAAAAAAGTATTTCCGCATCCTGTGACACAGAAATTCAAAATCTCAGAATATTTACCTCTAAGTAGCATCCGCTCTTCTTTTTTTTTACGTAAACACTAGAATTTAACATCGTAACCAACACGTGTACTAAACGATTATACACGACAGTCATTATTATAAAAAAGCTGCAGTTTAAGCACCTTTAAACATAAAAAGATGCGAAAATGAGCGTGTTATATGCTATGCTACTAAACATATACAGGTTGTCACAAAAGAAAATTTACACTGTCTTGTTTATCGCAAAAATAAACTAGGCATCGCTGAACGCTCATTCTCCGCCCAAAGGTAGTGCTAGAGGTCACAACCAGATGCCAAAGTTTCAGCCCGATCCGATAACTTAATCAAAAGATATAAGTGATTTTCTGAAAATTTCAATGGGAAAATGGCGGCCGACGGAGTTTTCAAACACATGGGGCTCTATGGCGCCAGAAACCGAAAACGGGGAAAAACGGGCACAATTTTCCCATTGAAATTTTCAGAAAATCACTTATAACTTTTGATTAAGTTATCGGATCGGGCTGAACCTTTGGCATCTGGTTGTGACCTCTAGCTCTACCTTTCGGCAGAGAATGAGCGTTCGGCGATGCCTAGTTTATTTTTGCGATAAAAAAGACCGCGTAAATTTTCTTTTGTGACACCCTGTACATAAAAGATACCATAACCCTAGCTCTTCCTACGTCATTCTAAATCGGTTTCTTACCTTGTCGGACCATGCAGGGCCCGCGATGACGTAGACTCTGGCGTGCTTGTCCCAGAAGACGGCGAGACCGCCGAACACGTCCACACCCACGAACAGCCCCAATGTGTGCACCTGCATCCTCGAGTCCGGCTCAAGCGGAGGGACGGGGTGACCCTCGGTGAGCACAAGGACCTCGGTGCCTGCAAAACCAAGCAGACATTTATTTAGAAAGAACACTTTGCATAAACATATCAGCCTTCGAAGCAATCGATTGAATTAATTAGTAGTGTCCTGGCTCTTTTTTTTATGCAAATAAAGAGGAGATGTAAAGTCATCAGTTGTCCACTACACTAGTTTCATAGCAACGGTTACTCTTTTTAGATATCTTTACAAAACATCTAAAAATCGCACAGGTGTTTCATGGTGAGCCTTGCACTTGGAATTTTAGAATCTATACATCTATGATCCATATCAAGACTATCGTCCCGTAACTCACCACAGTAACCGTACTCGTGCAACTATAACCGAGTCATTTTCTCAGAAAATCCTTGGCATTCCCTCCGAAGCAGTTCTACACACTCTTTCAAAGATCGTACCAGCAGTGATAGTGACAGCCTTGGCGCAAGAGGCCCGGCGGCCGCAAGGAACGTTCTGCACGACGACGGAGATGCTCTGGTTGTTGGGCAGTCCGCCCTTCACGAGCACGTAGTCGCAGACGCCGCTGAAGTCCAGGGCAGCGCCGTCGAAGGTGGTCACGTGGGAATCGCCCCAGAGCGCGCAGGTCCCAGCGCACTGCTGCTGAGTGCAGCTCCAGTGGCCGCTCGCGCAGATGCTGGGCAACGACAAGGATTCGTGATTCATACTAGAACACTTACGAAAGGCAATGTTTCATTATTATGCCTCTGGAACCGTACTCCGTCACATAGTATCTCCACATTTTTTTCTTATCTTGAAGTGAGCATTGATTGAAAGAATGATCTCGACCATAGCCTCCTATATACTGACAAAGGGAAAAAAGAGACGTCTCGAACACAGCTATAAGATTTATTCTCCGTCATGTATAAGAAGCTGGGACTTATTTAGGTAGTTTTCATCGTATATACGGAGGTGGGGCTGAATAAAACTTTTAGCTGCGTTTGAGACGTCGTTTCTTCCCTGTTTCTGTCCCTTCTACGTTTAAGTTTCTGTTCCCTACTCCAGTCTCGGGTTAATTTGCAACATGATTGCCGTGGTTGTTTGATAAACAAACAAAATTTGTGAAAATTAATATATATATATATATATATATATATATATATATATATATATATATTGTTTTATGATTTGGCGGAGCCCTAGAGTTGTGGCGCTTGGTTATATCGAAAAAAAAATGTTTTTTTGCGTCCTGATTTTTTTGACGTTTGATGCACATATAAAGAAACTATGTCTTAACACAAAGCCCCGAGATTGAGAAAAAAATAAAATTTGAACAGTGGTTTTCTTGTTAAATCTGGGGTTTTTCTAATATAAAAGTTGACCAGCTCACCTTACTTTTCTTTTTCTTTCTTTTTCTTTTTTTTTTCTTTCTGATTGAATTAATCCTTAAGCGACTATCGCAGCGAAAAAAGTATTAATATAAATTAGTGCACATACTCCACACGTTGTAAGGTTGTGATAGGTATGAGGTGCGTGCCCTAACGAACACGCAAAACACGCGCGGAACTACAGCATTTACATAAGAACATGAGAAGGCTCCAAGGAGGTTTTAACTGAAACGAGCTTGGTGTTGTACAGACAAACATTGACGTTGCCGCGTCTAATCGGTCCCCCCCCCCCCCCCCCCCCCCCGCTTTCCCTTCTTTCTTTGCTCTCCCAAGATTTAACGCAGATGTCTACCAAAATATTCGAAGGAACGAAAGAAACAGCTGCCCCCTCCCCCCTTTCAGAACACCTCCGATGCCCCTGGGGACAGGCTCAGGCACTGAAAATCCCTGCATACAAGCCTCGTCGTTCGCTCATCTTTCTACGTAAATGAGGTTGACACTTTTGCGACCGGCTACCACTGACTCCAAAACAACTGGTTCTTAAGCCGCTTGTGACAAATTGCGACGATCCTCTCAGCGGCGATGACGGTCTTAAAGGGATACTGAAGCGAAACTTGAAATACACCTATTATGGTCAGAAATAGGTTCAATATGATCGATGATATTCATAAATCATAATCGCGCGTTTGTATTTTGAACGGATGGCTATATTTTTCACCCTAATGGGCCCGATTGGGCGCGCGCTCAAAAATCGGCCATCGGAGAGCGCGATGCGTCTTGGGATATTGGGCGCATTCGTGACGTCACTTGTGCCAGACGGGAAAGGCTACGGCGTGAATGTTGTGGTTACGAGCGTTGCCACTTGGTGGCGCGTCGACGATTTACGACCTGTGACAACGTGGCCGTTTGAGATGTGCAAGGGCTGCACGCACGCTGCACCACGGGACCACGGCAAGTCGGCGACCACGGCAGCACTGACAAAACCAGCTCTGAGGCCGGATTCTCAAAGCGAATTCACGACGAAAAAAGTGCGTACGACAAATTTGAGAGAAAACCCGTGCTCTCGAAACGAAATTGTCGTAACCTTTGCGCAGGTTACGACAGAATCCTACGACAGCTCCGAAGCTGTCTTACGCACTTTTTACGATCAAATCAACAAGGCCGACAGCGTCGCTCAGTTACTTGGTATCGGCCCAACGGACATTTATTTTTCTTCGTACTCTTCTCGTGCGTCCCGACTTCAACCAGCAAGAAAAAAGGAAGGAGTACTTAAAACAGACCACGACGATCAAGAACGCAGGATCCACAAACACACGAGAAGAGCTATACAACAGCCACGATTCTGCCGACCGAGCGAGCTCGGCAGAATATAGTAGGCCTAGCAGCAACATCGACTCGGCGCACCGTTGCTCCGGCGGTCCTTGGCCAAGACCGTCTGTCCATGACCGGCTGGCCTGCTGAATGGAATATGCCCGCGCGACCCTTGTGGACCCTTACCGGATGAGTAGTTTGATCCCTGAACTAAATTACAGAGGTCAATATTTTCCCCTTGTCATCTCGATCTCCTTGTTTTCCGAGACAGCGGTGACGAACGCTGTCGTCGAAAAGGGACTCTCATTGATTCTATATCCTTGTTTTGTGTGATATAGAGCTCAAATAAACGCCATACGGATTACCTTGGCAACTCGGTATGTACACTCTGTTATTAGTATGCCATTTTTATTCTGACTCGACGCTACATCAGTGTTGAGCTATAGCAGTTCGTGGGAGCTACGCGATGTCGGTCTAACCTTTCTTTGCCGAGTGTCATGTCAGTATCGAGTTGCAATCGTAAAAGATCGGTCCAGAAGCGTTTACCGAAACGCGGTCTAACAGAGCGAATCCAGCACTTCGATCAAACGCGCGTGTCCGCTCCGAGTGTGAACAGGTATTTGGCATTTGCGTGGCTCTTGCTGACACCCTCGTAGTTCAAACATATCCTTTTTAACGTCGGCTTGCAGCTCGCGACTCGCAGCAACTAATACCGGCCGTGCCAGAAGCATGCTCGGGCCGTGTCGTGCAAAGAGCCGCAACGAGAACGAGCTCAATGTGGCCAACTACGCTTTGGCTTTCTCCGCCAAGGCTTTGCAAACGCGTTCAGGCCTAGGCGAATTCTGCCGGCACGCCGTATTGCCGCAGAACGGCGCTGCTATTTTGGCACAAGTGATGTCACGAGAACTTCCCCCCATCCACCAGATGAGAATTTGAAATCGTTTAATTATGTTTAAAATTAGTTCTCCTGTGTTTTACAGCGCAATATTTATATTTCCGAGGTGGTGCCTGTCCCTAGCCCATATTTATGCAACAAGATCGGCGCTAAAATTTCGTTTCACTACCCCTTTAAGCGGCTTCAAAAACAGTTTGTGACGGAGTCGGCCGTAGTCGGTTGCTAAAGTGTGAACCTGCCTTTACGGAAATGTACAGGAACGGGGCGCTGGAAATGTACAGGAACGCTGGCGTCAAATATATGTTGTTGTAAACTGAAAGCTTGTACATGTCTGTTTTTGTCCCTCTGTTTGTTTTGTGCTTTCTTACTGTTACAACGGGGCCCCTTCACGCATAGACACCAGCTGGTCGAGAGAGTGAGACGTACAATACGACGTTCTCCATTTCTTAGCTCGCGGTACACCGTGCATATGAGAATCGTTTCAATGGGGAACGGGGCTCCCTGTCACGTACCACTTGTTGCACTCGACGGTGATGGTCTCTCCCTCGACGTAGCTTCTCGAGCCGTGCCGACAAGGGCAAGTCGTTGGAAGGACGCATTCGCCGCTCTGTTCGTTTCTCACGTATCCGTCGTGACACCTGAGGCAACGAATATAAAAAAATGTAGCGTTACGCAATATGCACGAGGCTGTTTTTACGCTACGCCTAAGTGATTTGTCAATTTTAAATGAATTTCGACTGTTCCTGGAACATCCCTGCAAGGGTTCATCAACCACTTAGAGACTACTAGGCGGACTCTGTTGTCAGATATTTAACTCCTTCATTCTTCTATGTATAGCCTTACAAAAAAAAAAAACTCTCGAAGCAGAGTGATCAAATGTTTATTTTCCCTGGAAATAAAAATATACGCATTAGATAGCGCATTAAAGCGATTTTCAAAGTGTTTGTTCCATACATTTTTAATAAATTTATAAAACGGCAGTAGAAATGAGCGTTTCTACAACATTTACCTTTTATCACGAGCTTCACACCCTTCCTTTCTTACAGTGTTTCTTTCTAGTGTAAATGTTTCCAAAGGACGAAAAACAGCCCAGGTACGCTTCTAATAAGTATATTTCCCAAGCTAAAAGAAAATTACAAAAAATGTAGGCCAACTAAGAAAAGCAAAGGCGATAGTGTACACGGGTTATAACTAGTCGTTAATTTATTAATACATTAAAAAAAACATACCCCATAGAAGGCGCAGAGTAATATTGAATCACACAGGACAAGGGCTAGTTCCGTGTGGTTCAGTTTCTCGTCTATTTGTGCAGTTTTCGTTATGTCGACGTAGAAAGACCAATAGAGAAGATACTACGGTGTAGACAGGAAGAAAAACAGAAGGATACGTTAGTCAAACTTAAGACGGGTTCACGTACACACCTATGCGTTCAATACAAAGCTATTAAGACCGCGCTAACTTCGCACTTATCGGCGCTCTATCAGCGGCCCGCTACATGATACCCCTAATTTATTTTGTCCTCACACACGATGCAACGCCCACTCAGAGCTGCACTTGCACTTGTACAGCAGACTTGTAGTGTACAAATCGCAACTAATCAAATTACTTGTAATCTATTATTTTGGGCTGGTATCGTTATAATTTGAATGCATTTATTGGGAAGTAATTACATTTATTAGGAAATAAATTACCTGTAAGTATTACTATTTTTCTCCCCTTTTTAATGGTGCCCTTTGGACAAGTTTCCTACGAAGGAATCCTCGAAGCCAGTAACCGATGGAGGATAATTTACTGAAATTAGTGGACGAAAAAAAGACTAGAACTTTATTATTCGGTGATTTTAATGCAATATTCGAAAGTAAGAATTATCAGTTTTCGAACCTGCAGAGGAAAAAAAAAAAGAAACAGTTGTTTTGAAAATCAGAAGTAATCGAAAATGTTACGGTTAATTTTTGAAGTAACGGTCAATTACTTTTTTACTGAAGTAATCGACTAATATAATTAAACACTTTTCAACCTAGAAAAATTGTAATTGTAACCGATGACTTTTTTTTTTTTTTTCTTTCCGAGTAGCTTCTTTTAGATTGCACTGCAGCGACGCCTTTGCGTAACCTCGGCGCTGCGATGCACGTGTTAACCTGGCCAGTGCTGTCGGCGTTACCGAAGAAAAGTTAACGAAATGCGTTACTCGTTAGCTGCAGTTAAAAGGAACGCGTTACCGTCAGAAAAGGAAGGAACGGGCTACCCTTGCCAATAAAAAGGGAAGACTTTACTTTTGCGTTACTTTTTATTCCGGAATTAAAACGTCTTCTTGATTTTACGCTGCATATTTAAATTGAAAAACATGTCCATGCGCAAGCTTAATACAATTGCCTTATCTTTTTTTTTTTTTTTTTACTGTTTCACTTGAATATTTACGCGACAAAACACGGCTCGAAACACGGAAAAACGATTGAAGTGTAAATGTTTTAAGTCATGCGGAAACAAAAAGGTTAACGAGTAACGCAACTACGTTAATCGATAGTCGAAATCAGTAACGTATGTACGTTGTTCGTTGCTGTTCTCAAAATGCTGAGTGCGTTGCTAGGTTACCAAAAAAGCGACGCGTCACACCAGTGACGCCGTTACATGCAACGCGTTCCCGCCAGCCCAGGAACCGGTCCTCGGTTGACTCACTGGCATCCGGCCTGGCACACGTCCACGGCGCATTCGGGTCCGTCTTGTTTGTTGAGCGTGCTGCACGTCCTGGGGCAGGTGGACAGGCACTCGGTGTACTCTTCGTTGGCCGCGCACGATTCCGTCGACGGCAGGAAGATCACGTCGTCCGTGTTGGCCGGCCGACAGTGCCACTTACCGCCGCTGCACTCGCTACGTGGCAAAAAAACCCCTTATCAATCAATCAATCAAAGCTTTGTTGTTTTCCCAAACAGCTTTAGGGGCCCTTTTAGGTTTACACTTGACATAATAAAACGGCACTGAACAAACTACACGGCAATCCTGACCACTACACCATTCTTGAACTATCTAAAAGGTATAAAAAAGTTCACGTGAGGGGTAAAAAACTCGTTGTAGATGAGCATCATCCGTGTCAGCGGAGGAGTGGAACGGACAACGATTATATTGATCAGATATATTCGTTGCAGTAAAATGGCTAAGTGAGCTAGTTGGTACATGTTTAACCGAAAATCGCCTCGCAAATACGTGGACACGATAAACAAGGGGCAGGACCAAGTGTTCCTGTTCCTTCTCGTTGCGTTATAAATTCGTTATAACACGAATTCGTCAAAACACGAATTCGCTATAACGCGAATTTGCTATAGCACGAATATGTGTTAACATGTTATAACGTATTCATTACGTGGAAGCGGCGAGAATGTGTGTAAACATAGAGTGTGCGAATAGGGGTTTGAATTTGATAGAGCTACATCACTCATAGCCAGCACAGTGCAAGGAGCCAGCACAGTACGTAGCTGCTCTCTTTAGAGTGATGAAACTAGTCAGACACCACACTATTCAATTTGAAGCAATCCTAAAGTTAAGGCTTGGGCGAGTTGGTACATACTTCGGAATTAAAAAAACACCGCGAAAAGGCGAGGACCAGACAAAGAAGTGACACGGAAGTAGCGCTACGTCCGTGTCACTTTTTTGTCTGGTCCTCGCCTTTTCGCGCTGTTTTTAATTCCGAAGTTGAAGCAATCTTTGGACACATGTAGGCGTATTCACCCTTGGGTATACAAGCTGTGTTCTGTGAAAAAAATCAGTATTTGAATAGAACGTGATTATAATACAAAAAATGTGTTGCTGACAAAGCGACTAAAACACTTTAAGAAAGTGGGAAAACGAAGAACCTTACAACTCAAATTATGTGTATGCGGGCTATAAAAGTGAAAAGTCCCAAATGCAATCTTTTTTTTTTCAATTTTATTTGAGAATAATAAAATGAGGATGTAAGTTGAAGACGCTTAATTACTATTATTCTCTCGATAGTCTTTGGTTGTTTTATACGCACAATGAAAGTTTGGTTGGTATGAGACTGCACATGACATTTCGTTCATCGGTTCTTTTTTTTTTCAGTTCTTCGTAGAATGTTTTTATTTCACTTTTATAGTCCACCCCAGCTACATTAAAAAAAAAAAAAATTGGGTTGTGTGTGTGTTTATACAGCCTAGAACTTGGTCTGCCTCACAGGGGCGACGAGTCTCCCAGCTGTAGATGAGAAATTTAGCCAGTGCGGTACAACCGCTAGCCTGGGATCTTTAACGTGCATCACGCAGTAGTGATACACGACCGCACGCCGGTACGATGCTCATCCAGATCGAAACGGGCAGGGGTGGGGATTGAGCCCAGGATCCTCTGCAGCGCGAGCTTTCGCTCCACGTGCTCCGAGCTGGTGTGCGCTAGACCACTCGGCCACCGATCCCCCTACATTAAAAAAAAAAAAAAAATACATGGCGACTGTCACAGAATAGAAAATTACTTGCAAGAAGAGTTCATCCACGAATCGGAGTGGCAAACACGAAACGTGAAAAGCGCCATTGATCGAACGCGCGTGGGACGGGCTCGAAAAAAAAATGATCTGGAAAATCATGAGCCGCGAATATTCTGGCCCTCTTCGCAACATAAGTGAGCAAAAGACTATTCACACTAAATGGCTCCTCCGTTCTATCATCAGTGGAGCTAAAGCTGGTAGCAAAGGCAGCACAGGCGATGTTCTATTTACAGACGACTTTAATGAAGACTAAAATAATACAGTCTACTGTCTACATCCCCTAACTTCCTCCTTGACCTACAGCGCGTTAAAAAAAATGTACAGTGTTTTCTATTTATAGCAAAAGTAATTTACGCATCGCGAAGTGCTCGTCCTCCGCCAAAATGTATGGCTAGTGAGTGGTCCGAACTAGATACCAAAGTTTCAGAGCTAGCAGGTATTTCATTCGGAAGTTATAAGGGATTTCCTAAACATTTCGATGGGAAAATGGAACCTGTTTTCTGTATGTGGTGCCATTGGGCTCCATGTTTTCGAGGGCATTGTAGGCCCCCATTTGGCCGTTAAAAAGTTTCGAAAATTAATTCTAACGTTTCACTGAGAGAACGCTTAGATCTGAAACTTTGGCATCTGGTTCCGACCGCTGGAGCTACATTTGGGGAAGGAATGAGGTCTTGACAATTCGTAGTTTATTTCTGTGGTGAAAGTTATCCGGTACGTTTCTGGGGAAAACATTCTGTACTTCAAAGCTGTTCGCGCTGCTTCTAGCTGTGTTCTCAATTGCTCTTCTTTGTGGCGCATTTTGAGCGTATTGTTTGCGGAACAGATGAGCGAGTCGGACGAACTGGGACTGCATCGCACAGTGGGCGTATACTAGTGATCCGTGCTTCGCATTGAATCATTGGTATCAGAAGCAAAGACTAGGAAAACAGAAGGTCTGGTTTAGATTTTTTTTTTTTTTTTCAGTGCAACTAACACAATTGTAGGAATTTTTCTTGCTGTGGTTATTTTTGTTTACCACATCGAGAACCATTTTATTCAATTTTCTGTCTGCCTCGTTCCTCCATCCAATTTGGACGATCAATTCTGGCTCTCAAAAATATAAATAGCAGCAGTAAATCAAGGATTGTCGGGAAAGAAATACAACTGATAATATGATCGTTTTACTATTAGCTCGCCTAACATAACGCTGTGATTGTATCACAGCGTTTGGGCATAACGTCTTGTATAACTCAGAAGTGAATCATTGAGAACATCAAAGGAGCTTCCGTTTCTCCGTGAGGAATTTAAAGAAAAATTATATTTATGAAAACAATGATGTTTTAACTGAGCTGCTTGTTTGGACTAAAAGGTTATTAAAATATTCGTGAACTATTACGGTTATTTTGGTTTGGCTTTGTTATGATGTGCAAAAATTAAATATATTGTGAAGGTTGTCGAATGTAAAAAGATATGTCGGGCAATGAATAAAAAGTATGTAGTTACAGAGGTTCTAATTAGTGCATTTTTTATATTTCTGCCTATAATTCTTCCGGGGAGTTTAACAATGTCTGCAGTTCAAGTGAATGCAAGGGCGTAAACGAGCTGGTTTAGATTGAACGTGATATAAACCCCGAGAATTTAGGCAAAAGCGACACGAACACTAAAAGGCCTCCAACAGAGTTGTGTTCGAGACTTTTTTAGTGTTCATGTGGTTTTTGCCTTCAGTCTCGATATTTATGTCATGTTCAACCTGCAGTTGTTCGCTTCAAATAAATGTTTTACGGCGACTTGTTGGGAACAGTCGGGAAAATACACGAGGAGTGAATGTCCCAAAATGTTGAAGTCGATCTGGCAATTCCCACGGTGCAACCACAATGTTTGGAGCAACTTTTTTTTTTTTTAAGAGGCAAGATCGGGTAGTTGTTGTAAAAAAATATTTTCATAAAAACTTCTATTACGAGATAATTAGTAGTTATCCGAACGCGCGCATCAAAAGCAAATAAAATGTTTGGTCATCTTCACACAGGCAGTCACGTGCACTCATCGAATCTAGCATCTCACTGAACAAATTCGAGCATATGTTCGAGAAGTCTTAATTAAATATAATCACGATAAATACAAAAGAAGTAAAATGTGAACTTTTCTTTTTGTGCGACTGTACTGCTTTAAGGTTGCATACTTCGTAAATTCCGTATTTTATGGAAGCGTTTTTCGGTATCTCCTTGTTGGGCAGCCGACAGTGATTGATTATTATATTTGCGTTTGATTGAGTCATCGAGCCCTCGTCAAACTATCTCGTCTTTTGCTTCGATGCTACAAGCAACAAGTATTCTATAACATGTAGTAATGTGATTAGTTGAGCCAATTGGTAATGATTAAACATGCTTAAAAATGCCCACAAACAGAAAGGAACTGTGTAGAGAGAAAAGAGAGGAGACAAGCACCTTTCTCTTCTCTCTTCTCTCTTCATTGTTCCTTTCTGTTTGTGCGCATTTTTAACCATGTTTATACCATAACATTCTTTCTTTAAATAACCAATTACATTGTAAGGAAGACTGGCGCATGGCTGCGGGGATCGGGGTGTCCCTTTACCAGTGCTCGGAGTGTCTGCGCTGCTTGAATCCCGCCGGGAACTCGTGGCCCCTGAAGAGGCAGCCGCACTCGCTGACCGGCACGCAGTGTCCCCGACTGTCGGCGCTGTGGCCCGGGCCGCACGCGCAGCCCTCGACGCAGCGGGACGCGCAGCTCACGTTGCGGCCGATCAGGCTACAGCTCGAGTCGCACACGGACGCGCAGCTCCGGTAGCTCTGGCCGTTCTCGCAGGACACACCTGCGGTTCATGACGAGGATTGGGGTTGAATGGCGCGAGAGCGACTTTGGCCATTGCGCCAAGAAAGCACGACTGCGGAACGGGGTTCCGACGCAGTGGGAAACTCAGAGACGCTCTCGTCACAAGGACATGGGAAGAGACTGGACAATCAACCGGGCTGGCCGGCACGAAGATCGTGAGTACCACCGAGAAGACAAGGCCTGCGCGTGACGTCATTGCTAGTGGACCCCCGACACGCCTCGAGCGAAAGACGAGATAAAAACGTTTTCGGGTAAACCGCTATACGGTCACTGACAGTTTAAAAAAACACGGAGCGTGACGCGTTCTGAGCATCTTATCATTCTTGAAGGTTATAAAGTTTGGAATGTGAAAATGAGGGGCGCGAGACGTTCCGGGGAAGGAAAGAAGCGATCGCAGCTTGTACCAGCATCCCTCTTTACCGAGTCACTTTGAATCATCAGTTCCATGCGCTTTCCAGTCCTCTTCTTGTTTTCTGTCGCGGATGCGAATACTCCAATCGATTGCGTTTTGTTCAAGATATAACCGGGAAGGTAACTGCGGTTCTCGTGGTGGCACCACCTCTGATGTGACCCCACCATGCTGTTCCTATTTGCCGGGCTCGTTACCCCAAGCGTTTTGGGCCGAAGAAATATGCCTCCATTCTCGATTTCTTTGAGTTCGATATTGCGCAGGAATGAAGCGATGTTTTTTGCATCGAGTGTCGTCGGCGCAGGGTGCGGCGAGACTATGAAGGAACCTTGGCCGTTCGTTGGGCACAAACGCTCAATGCTAATGGCGGCCACCCTCAAGGAAGCCGTTTTCATTTTTCTTACATACAGATAGATTTAGATATCCGTTCCTTGGTCGGTATCGTTGCTTACGAAGATAAAAGTTAGGCAGGGATGAGAGAATTATTAATCGAAAAAACAAATGCATATTAGCACCATACCGAAAAATCCAATATAACTTTTCGCTAACTGGATATGGAACTGGGAATCTAACTAGATTTCTTGCTGGAAACTTGAAATCCAGTTTGCAGACGATTGTTTGCAAACTGGATTTCAGGTATCCAGAAAAAAATCCAGTCAGATTTCAGGTTCCATAGTCCAGTTAGCGGAAAGCTATATTGTTTTTTTTTTTCTTTTTGGCAAGACTTCGAAGTTTTCTTCTAGAACCTTCAAGCGTGATTATTTAGTTTTCTTTGCCGTGTTTGATATCACAGCACAATCCAGCATAGAAAAGTTTTTTATTAAATAATCATCGCGCGTGCTTTCAGAACGAAAAAAAATGTTTGCGTGAAGATTATAAATTGTTTTTACTGTAGTTAAAAGCAACTATTAAGAAAGAAGGTTTATACGTAATGGCGACGCCACTTGAATAATTTCTCATTTATTGTTCATTTCGTCACTGATCAGTGATTACACAAAATAATGTTATCTTATTTCGCTTAATTAATACCTCGAAATTGGGAAACTTTGTTTGGAAAATGTCAGGAGCACGCGACTCTGGCAGAGACACAAACTTATTATTATACAGCAAAGCACGGATTCTTATAAACACAAAGCGCCAGAAACAGGGACAGAGTAAGGATTAACGATCTTGTTTTTGGCGCTTTTAGTAACTAATTCACCAACTGTCCCAAATCACAATTTTGAGTCAAACACATGTTCTGAACGCTGTGGTAACTGAACAATACGTTATTTTTCTGTTAAAATGCTAACAATATTTTCTAATTAAAATGTTAACTCTAAAATATACAAATATGTATCAACCCTCATTTGTCTACGCCTGTTTATGTCACACTGGTACCACAGCTATTTCTTCGTAGGTTGAAGAAGTTGATTCTGCAAATAGCCTAAGTTATACAATACAATACAATACAATACAATACAATATTTATTTAATATATTTTCTTCTTTACCTTTTGTGTTGTCATCAAGTCGTACGCTCTTTAACGGCCGGCAATTAAGTATTGTTGTAGCAAAATAATTTGATGGCCTAGTTGGTTAAGCAAACATTGATCTTACGACGATCCGTTGACAAATGAACACGAGAAATAATGGAAGCTCAAGTTATAGCCACCTGAGGCGATGTGTGCGTCAGTGCTCCATCGGTAAACTTGTCAGCGAAAGAACTTCACTACTTGCATTTTTATAGGACGCTTCAGATCTGTTCTTTTTGTTTTAATCTTTCTCTTCCTTTCCTTTCTATTCTTTTCTTTAAATATTTAGCCTTTTTTCTGATTTTGTCTTCTTCATTTTCTTGTTTTCCCTTTCATCTGCCTTAATTTAATTTTTATTTTCCACCATCTTGTCACTTAATACTTTTAAATAATTTTGTCGATTTTTGTAAATTCTTTCTCTCTGATTATTCTTACTGCTATTCTTTTAGTTTGTCTCTTTCTTTTCCTATTTTTTGTGATTTTAGTCTTAATTGTATCTGTGAGTTCCTCTTTCCTCTCATAAAACGTCAGTTGTAAGTAGCGCTCTGTCCTGTCTTTTTTTTTTTCCTGTGTTCGTCCCCTGTCGCGCTAATTGTGTACCAAGTATTGTTGCCCTCTTCATCAATTTGGAACAGAAAACACTTTCGCTTCTCATTGATGGAGACAACTTTTGTAATGGTATTTTCCGTAAAAAAACGAAGCAGTTCGGGAAAGGCCACAAAACAAAACAGAAACACGAGCCACTGAAAAAAAAAACAATCAACCAAACCAAGGCTATGCAACACACACAGTAAAAGCGAATGGCAATCAAGCCTGGGTAACGTAACGGCCCACAAAAAGGTTAGGTAGTTCCGGGAAAGAAAAGAAGAAAACGGCGATAAAATTGTCGGGGTCTGAGTGCTAGCATCGCCTTCGTTTGGTGGGTTTCATTTTTTAGGCCACTCAGGTCAGTTTGGAAGTTCAGTTTAATTCAGTTCAATATACCTCGAATGTACTTAAATGAAGTGCATTACATGAGGGGAAAAGGGACGGTGGGTTCGTTTTATCTTTGTTTTGTAGTTTTGTGGAATCGTTTTGTTTTTTTTTGTTTTTTTTTTATGGTAGACTGCCTCTGGTTATAGAAGCAGAGTTGTAAACGTTCTTCGTGAACGTTCCAGTTTCTTTTTCGTCTGTCCTGTTGATGTTGTTGTTCCAATTTGTCTCAGCTTCGCAATAAATATATAGTATGTACTGTATACCTACCTTTTCTTCTGATATTTTACTTTAATAACGAAAGAAATGTATTTATTGTTTGCCAGCTTGATTGCGCCCAGATGTTTTGTTATTTTTGTTTATTTCAGGTCTTTGCGACTACAGCAACAGACATCTTGACAGCGCACGCTATAGCTTTTTCACGTCCAAAACATTACTTGGAATGCTGGAGACCTGCGAACCCTGACGTTGTTTTATAACACAAAAAGTAACAAAATCTGGTTCAAAAAATTATTACCGTTTTTTTCCAAGACTTATGTTTTTGAAATGTTATTCATGAGCAACATTGCGCATTTACAGCACTACTTCATGCTGAAAGGCTGAAAGCGGTTACGACCAGGGAGGAGGCACTGGCGCATTTCGATTTACGCACAGTATAGAGAGGTGTAACCAATTGTTTGTAATATTCGCACGCTTTCTTTTTTCTTTTTTCATCTCTCAGTTTTCTAAACAGTGCTACACTCCATCACACTTCACATCCTTTGTCAGTTTTGGTTTCAAAGGACGAGTCATCTGTTATGAAGATGTCTTTCTATCCTCCACTGCTAAGCGCAGGAATCCTGGCCCTTCCGACGGAGGGCGCTAAGTTTCTTAAGGGGCACGTGGCGCGGGTGAAAGTCAATCATTCTTGAGTTTCTCCGGGGCAACGCTCGGCATCAAAGGATTAAAGGCTCTGTTACACTCCGGCGTGGAGCGTAGCAAACGCGGCGTAGCACAGCGGACAGTGCTGCTCATTGCTCGCAGATATCGAGTTCCTTCTCGCCGGCCAATAGAAGGTCCACGTTCTGCGCTACGCTACGGTTGTGCGCTCAACGTCGGAGTACAACAGTGCCTTAAGCTGTCGGCGTGGACCGCCCCGGAACTGCCTATATAGATACTGTACATCGCACTGCAGAAGAAACGTCCATAAACTCACTTTCCTGTAGTACACGTAAACAAGCAATCAAAGTAAAGCATAGAAGGGTCCCAGCCCACGACAAGGGTCCGAATCCAAATAGACAAAACAAATGGGCTCCCTGACCGTTTGCGTGACATTTGGATTTCTCATAATCCTTGCATACAGTGAATTTTTTTTTCTTATATTTAATTGAATTTGGAGCTTCTCAGGCGCTGGGATCTTTCTAATGTTCCCCGTGACCTGGCCGTATCCGTGCTCTACAAAAAACAGAACTCGCGTACTTTTCTTTCCTTTTTTTTTTAGTGTACATTTAATAAAATTTTAAAAGTGCAAACCTCATTACGAACAACAAAAAAACAAAAATTAGAGAGACCTGGACAGTGTCAGTCGTCGAAGATCAATACGGTGATTCTATTTTGCACGTTTCAAGTTTTTCGCTTTATCCTCTATCTTATATTTGTTAGTTTCTGATTCAACGAATAATCGTAATATATAAATACATAAAGCTACTACCTAGGCACCATTTCTATATAAATAATTTACGTTGCATGTTCTTTTGTTTTTTGTCTTTGTTTTTTGACAAAACATTTTTAACGTAAATAACTGTACCTTTTTTTTCTGGTTCCAGTATTGATGTTTTACTTCTACTTCAATTAACCCATGACGTAGCTTTTTGTGTGTGTGTGCGTCCTTTTGTGCTCAATCACTGTACAAACAGTTCGCTCATCAACCGCCTAGGGGTCGGAGCATGCATCGAACTTCATTTTGAGCCATTCTCCCTTTTTCCCGACCGTTTGCGCACATGAAAATTAAACAATGTAATAATAATAATTATTATTATTAATATTATTAATTAGCATGTGCACAACGATCCACTATATTCCAAGACCGCTTATTATGTTCACGCGT